ACAGCCATTTATAAGCCTGACAGAGGGTGTGTGTGACCAGAGCTATCCACCCGACACAGATCTATTCCACATGCAGACTGCAGCACTGACTCCTAATGGACAATCCTGATGACTCAACACTTATGCTGCTACAGTCCTCAACTACTGGATGCATATGTTGTGCTTCTGTTGCTAAATCAGTATGTCCTCTGCATATCTTTGAGATGCAGTTCAGAAACAAGACAAACCCCTGTCTGATCGAGAGGCACCTCTTGGTCTGATCAGATTTCTCTCAACTCAGTTTAATCCAAACTCAAAGTAAGCTAATTTATTTAAAACTCATCCACAGCTTTATGTATTATAACTGTGATTCTGGTCAATTCACTTGATAGTTTTTTGTGTATTCCTCCCTGTTGGTAATCCCATCCTCACATCCTCTCAGGGCAGACTGCTGTAATGTAGGTCAGATGTATTAATCCTTGTGTTTTAGGGACATGGGTGGCAGGATTGATGCTTTCAGCTGTCTCAGTCAGCAGCACTGCATCAATTCAGCATGGGGCTCATTTTTCTTTTGTGTTCCTCAATTACATTCAATCACAACAGAAATTGACAAATGCAGACATCTGAAAGGAGATCTAATCTCGTTGTGTGCAGTCCTAATCATTTATTTATTTATTTTGAATTGTTCAGTTTACATTAGAGAATAGGAGCTGGAGGGAGATCCTTTACAGAAAAACTACAAACTGCATTTTAACCCAAATGAATGCAGGTGATTGATTATGAGAGCCATCCAGCTGCTCTCTCTCTCTCTCGCTCTCTCTGCCCTTGACTCAATTCTGTCACTTTCACCTTGCACCTCCTCCGTCCTCTTTCTGGTTGTTTTTTCAAACTCTAAACTGTTTTCAGAGCCCTACGTTGCGCACAGCATCCTCTAAGCTAACTGCGCAGCTCCTGACATCACCTCATCCTAATGACGACGGAGCTGCACCGGTACTTGCTCTGCATTGCGGTACTTCAGAGCGCCGGTCCACTTCTGCGCCACAGCGCACCCACAACACACCCCAGATGTCCCCCTTCAGCCACAAGACACCGGAAGATCTGCCCCGGTTCGGTTCTTACCTTTGAGGCGGGATGGAACGGGATTAGTCAACACGCTGTCCTCGCGACACTCCTGAACCAGAACCGCATCGCCCCGCGCACTCAGCCCACCCGCCCGACTCGAGCGTCCCGTTCAGGATGAACTTTTCTGTTGGATTTGTGACACGTCATCGACGCTTCGGCTGTGATTGGTCCGTGAGAGAGGGAGGACGAGGAAGCAGGAATACAAGCGCATCCCAGATCTGAGGAGGCATCAGGAAAAATAAATCTGGATTAGACCAGCCCAGAACAATCATTCCTGGGAGAAAAGGATTTAATCACAAACTAAGCCTAGAGCTAAAAGGCTAGAATAGTATAACTCATGGGGAAGCTGCAAAAATGATGTAAACTGAATAAATGTATTTAAACTAATTGTTGTTGGATTATCGACACATGCGTGGCACTGATAATATAAGTTAAAGCTGCAATAGAAAACCAGGAAAAACATGCTTTAAACACAAATCCGGTCACAGAACTTTCAGGCCTCATTGGCAAACATTGGAAAAGAAATGGACCATTCCCATCTGTACCGGGTCGGCCCGGGCCGGGTAGCGTAGGTTGTTTACATATCTGGGTGGCCTGGTATTTTTCCGGGCCAACCAAGGCTCATTCTCAACCCTCTTCTCGAGGGAGTCTGCTTCAGGCCGACCAGGGCCGACACACCCACTGCTGACAGCAAATTCACACCTTCCATTAGAGCAAGCCTCTGATTGGTGGGTAGAATCAGCCCACATGGGCTTAAGACAAGGATGTGTGGAATCAACCGGGCCAGGCTGGGGCCGACTGGGGCTACCCGGCCCGGGCCGACCCGGTACAGATGGGAATGGCCCATAAGATGTACCAGGAATGGCCCACCTTTCTGAGCTCTGCTATGATTGGCTGTTTCATTTAGCAGCAAACAGTTTTTCCTGCTAAGTGTAGGGCATCCTGCCACCAACACAACAGCTGCAGGGCTGCCAACTCTCACGCACTGAGCATGAAACACACGCATCTGATCTTTCATGCTCCACAGCTCCAATATCTCACACTGAAGAATCCCACCCCCCCCACCCCCCCCACCCCCACCCTACCCAGCCAACATGTCTCAGACAGAAAGTAACTATTGGACCATCCCGTTGTTGGTCTTGCTGAACCACCACTTCTGCACTGTTGGGTCCTCCACACATTAAGCACTCACGTATTTTGCAATAGAACACCACTGGTGTGAGAGATTCCCCTCTCAATAATATCAGAAAAGGAGAAGCATCCAGCTGCTACTATTTCAGCTATTTTCAGCTCAAGCACCCCGAGTGACTGGTGCACCATAACTTCATCTGGTGTTACGGGTTTGCAGGTCTGGCAGAAGCTTATCAGGGGAGAGACCTGAGGGGAAGGGCGAGTGTTCTTTGACTGTGGTTGCCTTCAAAACCAGGCTTGTTTGCAGATTTGTTATAACAGCTTTAAATTTGACTTAAGTTATACACATTTAAACAGATGAGAGATGTTTCTCCTCTCTCGTCCTAGTAAATGAAATGTATTTACATAGTACTTATCACAGAAAGAAAAATCACAAAGTGCTTCACAAAGATCAACAAAACAAATCAAACTCGTCCTAGGTTTTCACACACTGTTGCTGGTATTTTGGCCCATTCCTCTATGCAGCTCTCTAGAGCAGTGTGGTTTTGGGACTCTTGCTGGGTAACAGACTTTAAACTCCCTCCAAAGATGTTCTAAGGGGTTGAGATCTGGAGACTTATTAGGTCACTCAAGGACCTTGAATTGTTTCTTACCAAGCCACTCCTCCGTTACCCGGGCGGTGTGTTTTAGATGAGTGTCGCGCTGAAAACACTGTACCCAGCCACATTTCATCTTCAGTTGCCCTTGCTGGTGGAAGGAGGTTTTCACTTCTTTTTATGCAACTCAGCGTTCCATCTCCTTCAAACATGACAAGTAGAGTTTTAAACAAAAAGTTCTATTGTGGTTTCACCTGACCATATAACATTCACCCAGTCCTCTTCTGGATCATCCAAATGTTCTCTAGCAAACTTCAGATGGGCCTGCTCATGTACTGCTCTCCCCACTTATTCCACCTTCCTCAGGATCTACTGATTTCCCTGTTTCCTAGTCACTCTCTCTCTCTCTTTCTCAACATTTTTTAATCACAATTGTCTTTTTTTTTTTTTTGCTAATTTTAAATGTATTTTTAACCATTTTCTAAATTCTTTTTTATATTTTTTGTTTTTGTGAAGCGCCCCGTGATTTTTATCTTGAGAAGCGCTATAGAAATGATATTTTCTTCTTCTTCTACTGGCTTAAGCAGGGAGACATGTCTGGTGGTGAGTTACTGATGCTAGCCTTTGTAGCTTTGGTCCCAGCTCTCTGCAGGTCATTCACTAGGTCCCCCGTGCTGTTGTGAGAGTTTTGCTCACCATTCTTGTGATCATTTTGACTCCTCGGGGTGAGATCAGACATGGAGCCCTTGATAGGGAGATTATCAGTGGTCTTGTATGTCTTCAACTATCTTATAGTTGTTCCCACAGTTGATTTTTTCACACCAAGATTCATTTCTATTGCAGATTCAGTCTCCCCAGCCTGGTTCAGGTGTACAGTGTTGTTTCTGGTGTCCTTTGACAACTCTCTGTTCTGAGTGTGACTGTTTGAGATTGTGGGCAAGTGTCTTTTACACTGATAACAAGTTCCAAAGGGTGCCATTAATACACGAGTAGAGCCATTTTCTTCTACTCTTTTCTGTCTCTCATTTGATGACATCCATTTAGTGAGTCAAGCATTTGTAGTCCTCTTTGTCTTTTCACACAAAACCTAAAAATTACTTTAGCCACCTGTTGAAAATAAGCACTTTCTTGGTATTAAAATGTGCCTCCACACACATCATACACTCAACAAAAATATAAACGCAACACCTTTGTTTCTGCTCCGATTTGTCATGAGAAGGACTTAAAGATCTAAAATTCATTCCAGACACACAATATTACCATTTATTTCAAACATTGTTCACAAATCAGTCTAAATGTGTGATAGTGAGCACCTGTGCTTTGCTGAGATAATCCATCCCACCTCACAGGTGTGCCTCATTAAGATGCTGATCTGACATCCTGAGTAGTGCAAAAGTGTACCTTATACTGCCCACAATAAAAGGCCACCCTGGAATGTACAGTTCTTTGCTTTATTGGGGGGGTCTGGGGACTCAGAACCGGTCAGTATCTGGTGTGAACACCATTTGCCTCATGCAGTGCAACACAACTTTTTCGCATAGAGTTTATCAGATTGTCAGTTGTGGCCTGTGGAATGTTGGTCCACTCCTCTTCAATGGCTGTGCGAAGTTGTTGGATATTGGTGGGAAGTGGTACACGCTGTCGTATACGCCAGTCAAGCACATCCCAAACATGCTCAATGGGTGACATGTACGGTGAGTATGCTGGCCATGCAAGAACTGGGACATTTTCAGCTTCCAAGAATTGTGTACAGATCCTTACAACATGGGGCCGTGCATTATCTTGCTGAAACATGAGGTGATGTTCATGGATGTACGGCACAACAATGGGCCTCAAGATCTCATCACGGTATCTCTGTGCATTCAAAATGCCATCAATAAAATGCACCTGTGTTCTTCGTCCATAACAGATGCCTGCCCATACATAACCCCACCACCACCATGGGCCACTCGATCCACAACATTGACATCGGCAAAGCGCTCACCTATACGACGCCACACACGCTGTCTGCCATCTGCCCTGAACAATGTAAACCGAGATTCTTCCATGAAGAGAACACCTCTCCAACGTGCCAGACGCCATCGAATGCGAGCATTTGCCCACTCAAGTCTGTTACGGCGACGAGCTGGAGTCAGGTTAAGACCCCGATGAGGACGACGAGCATGCATTTCAGCTTCCCTGAGACGGTTTCTGACAGTTTGTGCAGAAATTGTGTGATTTTGCAAATCAATTGTTTCAGCAGCTGTCTGAGTGGCTGGTCTCAGACGATCTTGGAGGTGAACCTGCTGGATGTGGAGGTACTGGGCTGGTGTGGTTACACATCGTCTGCGGATGTGAGGTCGGGTGGATGTACTGCCATGTTCTCTGAAACGCCTTTGGAGATGGCTTATGGTGGAAAAATGAACATTCAATGCACGAGCAACATATCTGGTTGACAATCCTGCTGTCAGCATGCCAATTGCACACTCCCTCAATGCTTGTGGCATCTGTGGCATTTTGCTGTGAGACAAAACTGCACATTCCAGGGTGGCCTTTTATTGTGGGCAGTAGAAGGTACACCTGTGCACTACTCATGATGTTGGTTCAGCATCTTGATGTGGTACACTTGTGAGGTGGTATGGATTATCTCAACAAAGCAGAAGTGCTCACTATCAGACATTTAGACTGATTTGTGAACAACGTTTGAGAGAAATGGTAATATTGTGTATCTGGAATGAATTTTAGACGTTTAAGTCCATCTCATGAAAAATCGGAGCAGAAACAAAGGATGGTGCGTTTATATTTTTGTTGAGTTCATGTTAAATCCATGACAGATATCAAACGGAACCAGAAAATAACTTTTATCCTTTCAGAGACTCCTTTTCCCTTTTTTTTTTTTTGGTAGTCCTGCCACCAACAGAACAGCTGTTTTGGGGAGTTTTGTGAAGAAAATCTGATCTTAATGCTATAATACCCATTCTGTCCTGTTCTGCAGAAAACTAGTTTCTTTTAGAAAAGAAACTGAAAAAGTCAAATATGAACTTGTCATGGCTTTTATAACACAGTTAAGCCAAGCACCGGGGTTATGTTACTTATTGTATCTCCCAAGAACGTTTAACATCTTGAAAAGTTCGAATACTCACGGTCTTATGTACGTATTCCCTGAACACAGAAAACATAGCCCTGTGGGTGAAAGATGAATCACTTAGTAGAGCTTATATATTCACAAAACAACAACAAAAACAAACAAAAATAAATAAACCAACAGTCTGAGTCTTTTGAAAAAGCTGAAGGTTAGTTTCATCTGTTATATCTATAATATAATTTAAATATAACATAATATAATATAATATAATAATAGTTTCTTGTATAGTTTTTGTGAAGCACTTTTAGACTTTTCTACTCATTTTAATGCAATCTAGTTACGATCAAACAGATGTGAACAAAACACATGCTCCAGATGTGTGCTTTTCGTTGAAGTTCACATCTTTACAAATTCATACACTAGTTGGAGTAAAACACATCTCTCTTATCTTGCACTGCACGCATGACTCAAACACGCATGACTTGAAATCCTAAAGCCAACATTTATTTGTTTAATTATTTAAACTTAATTTATAATACAAAATATTTTGCAATTTCATATTGTAGAGGAAACCATTTGACAGCCTTTCATGCTTCTCATGTAGCTTCAACATTGACCAGAACTTTATTTAATCACATCATAAACTTTGTCCAGCAACTACATCACGTTCCCACTGCAGCGTGCCAGTCCATCGTTGCTCCTTTTTTACCCCAAAATTCACAAAGCCATCATTTCCTGGAGGTCTAAATTAGGAAAGCATCCAGACTTTGTCTTAAATTTGTTATTGTGGATTTCCTTGAAGTGTCATAGCCTGCTTGACGTTGCGCCTTTTGGTAAAAACAGGAAAAAAAAAATCCAAGAATGTGCATAAACTGTCAGAAACAAAACAAGAGTCACAAGTTTAATAATCAGCTTTGAGACCTGAAACTGTAACAGCTGCTTCAGTAAAGTCACTTAAAGAGGTTTAAAATAAATAAAAAGTGAATTTCACACCAAACAAAAGAGTGAAAACTGTAAATAGATTTAAATCACACAATGACCACCCCTTTTCCATAACGCAGCAGGGTTGGTTGAGGTCAGGCTCTCACCTCTGTCCTCTGCACTCAAGTTAAGCCATTATTTTCAATAAACAAAAAGTATATATCAACATGTGGTATGCTGACATATTGCAACCTAAAAACTTGATGCAAGTCATGAGAGGAAAGGAGAATATCCTCTAATAAAAGAACAAACAGGTGTTTGAAGGAGATACAGGTTGCTCGACACCCACTGGAATAAAAACAGTTTTTCCATGTAAATAAAAGTCACACACACACACACAATACAGAGTAGCATGCACGTACCGCACACACCCGTGCACCCAAGAATTCGCTCTAAGCTTTGCAAAAATAGAAAACTCACTCGAATGCTGAATTCAGATTGCAACAACGTATACTGCAAACGGATACATGCTTAAACCAAAGTCACCAGTTTGTTTTCATTTTCATTCACATTAACAGATACACTGGTATCCACATTCTGGAGCATTATTTCTGGCCTTTTCTGATAGCTACCATTAGTAATTAGACTAAGCAAGGTGGTGAATCTGGTTCCCACTGGCAGTTACCTGGTGAGAGGGTTGGCAGTAGTTTACCGCTGCTGAACCAGCGCCTCCTCTTCAGATGAACGAGTTTAGAGGAGAAGAGGTGGGTTTGTTAAATGAACTCATGACCTCAGGGTTCCCTTAACGTTTTCTCCTCACCTATGAAACTAAACTTTCCAAGATGGTGTGTGTTGATGCGTACTGTAACGTCAGATGATGTCAGCTGAATATCATGATTGTCAACTAGGCACCAAAAGATTGTGCAGCTGAAAATGAATTGAAATCGGTGTTTTTGATTTAAGGTAGGAATCTGAATGCTAAAATAATGAAAGTGTTTTGACACTGATGGGTTCAGTTTAATGGAAAATCTAATGTGAATGGAAGCAGATCAAAGGGCAAACTCAAAAACTTGTTTAGGATGGCGTTAAGACCATTACAAAAACAGTTTCAACAAACAGTGTCGCTCCAAAAGACGACGCTTCATTCTGATGTTTTATGGCTGTGGTGGAGTACAACCATCAACCCAGTATCTCCAGTATATGTTCAGACTCATCAATGACAAACCATCAAACCTCTCAGTGATGTATGAATGGGAGCATTCGTGAATCAACCACTCAAAACTAATTGGTAAAACTATACAATGGCCACAAAAACAATCTTTGTTAATGATGAACTAACGATTTATTATTAATGAGATAATTATCTGTTGATGCTGAACGAGTGTTATCTAAGATGAATTAATGTTAGCATAAATAATGTCAAACTAATAGTTTGTTATTGTTGAACTAAATGCTAAATAATGACTTGCTTTACTTTATGAGCTGCGATAAGTTACACTAGTAGATAGTTAATCATAAACTTATGGTACTTAATCATGAACTAAGCATTTCTAATGATAATGCTCTGAAACAAAGCAATGCTTTGCTTATTCTTATTATGTTTACTTCATGTTTATTTCACCTTTAGTTTATCATTAAAAAGAACAGTTTTGTCCCCATTTTTAGGAAATGTTACCAATAACATTATTTTCACTGGTTAGCTGTGACCTTTGCTATGAAGTGTGCGGATGTAGTTTGTAAAATGACCAGCATCCTAACTTTCATTACTTTATTATCAGCAGAACCCTGTAGATAATTTCCATGAAGTACTGGATGTAGCTTTGGCTCCTCCCACAGCTTTTAAAGCCGAGTTCACGGTTAGGAGTTTGTTCCAGTGTGGTGCAGTCATGCGTTGCCGTCTGTTTAGAGAGACATGGAACTGTAGTTAGGTCGCAGTTTTCTGCAAAGGCACTAGAAACCACGCTGACAGCTTCTTAATCATCAACATGTGAATAAATACCTGGAAATGGCCGCATATGCTCTCTGTAAACCTTTACGAGAAGCATTTTCTATCAACTTTTTAGCAGAAGAAGAGCAGTGATATCATTGTTGAGATCTGATGGAAACACTTGACAGCGGCATCGGACCAGTCATACTCCTTTTTTGTGGTTCAGTTAGTTTTCTGTAACAAGGGTTTAATGCAAAGACGCGATATAAGGAAACACAAGGCTACAAACAGGCTAAATGTTGGAGTACAGGCTGGCTGGTGTGATGCTGAGATCCCTCATTTCCACATTTCCAGGCATTACAAATGAACAAACCTCACCTGGAAACATAGCTTTCTTGTTTTTTGTTACTCATGTACAATCAGTCCCTCTGTCTTAAAAAAATAAATAACATAAAATAACGTAACTATCTTCTCTTTTAAGTCACGCCCTTTTTGCAGCTATACGTCCACAAGGACACTACTGCCATTTTTTCTCATTATGTCCAAACGCCATACATTTAACACTTTCTGGGAGGAAAAAAAAGCCATACCCACTGGCTCGTGCACCAAATACAGTTAAAGATGCGAGTTACATCTGCAAAAACTGACACAAGGTTGTAAAATGCTCAACAGACTTATGATTTACTCCATGCAGGTGCTGTAAATGTGATTCAATGCATATTAGCCTGCCAGCGGGTCATGTAGTGTACTTTCATTAAAATATATACGTATATATAGATATCTAAATGCATCATATTCAGGGACCACTTTATGTAAGGGCCCTTTTATTAACGCTACTTTATGCATTATTAAGCATTAATAAACAAAGGATCTCTTTAATAACATTTGTATTTAGTTAACTAAGTTTCCTTGAGGTTGGGCCAAAGGACCGGGGGTTGTCTGCTTAGTAACACATTACCTAATAACATTAAGTAGTTGTTAATATTTTAGTAGTTTATTAATGCTTAATGATGCTTAGTAACATTAATAAAGGGACACTTATTGCAAAGTGTTACCCAGGGACCAAATGGCACTAACACACAACTGGCCGCACTCGTGCTCAGTCCGAGTGGTGAAACCCCTGGTTGTACATTCTATATTGCTTCCTTTCCTTTTCTCCATTGACCCTCTTTTTATGGATTCTTTAATGGTTGTGGGGGAGATTGTTGAGTGTCCCAGTGTGACTGGAACTGACGAGTGTGGAGATGACAGCATGTCAGCAGCCTTGGCCAACAGCGAGACAGCCACCACAGGATGAAATTAGGTGTCCACAACAAGTGTCAACTCAGCAACTATCACCACAGCAATGGTCACATCTGCCAGGGTGATGTCGGGTGGCCATTGCAAACGCTGCAGCGAGGCCGCAGTCCATCGTTAGACAAATGAGTTCATGGCATTGACGGGCGACGGGGCCTCTGAACTTTCGTTGCCTTCGTGTGTGTCCTTCTCCTTCTTGCCGCTGTACTGGCCAATAAAGGAGCCATCCTCATTGAACTGTCCATCCCCGCCCTCCCCGTAGTCCACTAAACTGTCATCACTCTCATCACGGCGCACCGTCCCATTGGACGGTGTCCGGCTGCCCTTCAGTGGCTTGTGGTCCTCTGTGTCACTGCATGAGGAAGAGATGGAGAAGGAAATTCAATTCAATTCAAAGATACTTTATTAATCCTAGAGGAAAATTAAAGGTTCACTCAGGAATCACAAAAAAAAAGTCCAACTGCTAAAATGTGTAGGCTTTCTGGCTTTTCCACTGCACAAGCATCACAGAGGATGGTGTCAAGTCAACAAGTCTTGATACCACCTTGTGTGCACAGCTTGTTTTATCTTAAATCCAAACTTGTGTTTGAAATCCTATTTGTAACACAAATCTTTAGGTTACTATCGTAACCCCGGTTCTCTGAGTAACATGAGTGAGATGTCTCACTATGGGATACGCCCCTCCGCGGATTCCTCAGAAGCACTTATCACAATACGCCAATCCTGATTGGCCAGTGACCGTGACGTACGTGTCCCCTGCTACTATAAGTAGCAAGCATCCCAACACACGCACTATTCAAGATAAACACCTCTTCTCGCTTCGCCCAGCAAGAAGGGTTGTCTGGTGAGACATCTCACTCATGTTACTCAGAGAACCGGGATTACGATAGTAACCTAAAGTTCCCTTTCTTAACATTCGTTTCGATGTCTCACTATGGGATATGGAGACTCCCGTATTGCCAGACAGCTTATCCAGCGATCACCAACCTACAGGGATACTGTTGGTGCCAAAAAGGTCAAGAGGTCATCTACAAAATGTATTGAGTTAAAGCTGAGTTCTTGGGTTGAAAGTGTTTTCTGGCTAGAGTTCGTGTGCTGTTCCAACATCAGCTCCAAAGGAATTTCCTGTTTTGGTCTCTGCTTGCTTCCAGTAACATTGCTTAAAGCTTATCTGACTTGCTAAATACTTGATGTGATTCCAAAAGTGTTGCTGTGTCCCAGACAGAAGTCTCCACCCACAGTTTCCACAGAAGAGATGTGAGCTATAAAAAAGGGAACCACTCTTTTGTCGGGGTCTTTCAGCTGTCAACCCACAGTTTCCACAAAAGAGTGGTTCCCTTTTTTATAGCTCACATCTCTTCTGTGGAAACTGTGGGTGGAGACTTCTGTCTGGGACACAGCAACACTTTTGGAATCACATCAAGTATTAAGCAATGTTACTGGAAGCAAGCAGAGACCAAAACAGGAAATTCCTTTGGAGCTGATGTTGGAACAGCACACGAACTCTAGCCAGAAAACACTTTCAACCCAAGAACTCAGCTTTAACTCAATACATTTTGTAGATGACCTCTTGACCTTTTTGGCACCAACAATACGTCTTGGCCTGCCAAAGACCCCACACTCAGAATCGTGTGAGTCATTGCAGGGACCGAAACATCAAGCTTATAGAAGCGTGCAAATGCAAGTGGAGAAGCCCAACTTGCTGCAGCACAAATCTCCTGGATTGACAGCCCCCGAAAAAGGGCCCAAGAAGCAGACAGGCCCCTAGTAGAATGGGCCCTGAGCCCTACAGGTGCCTGAATGCCCTGACAGGAGTAAGCCATAGAAATAGCCTCCACAATCCAGTGGGAAAGCCGCTGCTTTGTGACGGGTTTCCCCTTACGAGGCCCACCCCATGACACAAAAAGCTGGTCCCCCCTGCGAAGGTTCTCCGTCCGATTCACATACTCCTTGAGCGCGCGAATCGGACACAGCTTGTGCCACCGCTCCTCCTCAGGAGAGGAGAAGGGCGGTGGGTAGAAAGCTGTGAGTATAATAGGAGAAAAGAAGCCCACTATCTTAGGCACAAAGGCAGGGTTGGGCTTCAAGGACACCTTCATGTCACCTGGTGCAAACTGGGTGCAGGATGGGTGCACAGAGAGAGCCTGTAAGTCACTAACTCGCTTTGCAGATACCAAAGCCAGGAGTAGCACCACCTTAAGAGACAGGATCTTAAGGTCCAGGCCTTCCATAGGTTCAAATGGAGGCCCGGAGAGGGCCGACAGCACCAAGGACAGATCCCATGAGGGCACCAGGGGTCGAGACACAGGGAGAAGCCTGCGTGCGCCCCTCATGAAGCTACACACCAGGGGGTGCTGACCTGCCAATTTCCTCCCAAAACCCAAGTGTCGGGCGGAAATGGCTTATAGGTACACTTTAATGGTGGAGAAAGCCTTCTTCCCATCCAACAAGTCTTGCAGGAAAGACAGAATAACATTCACCGGGCATTGGAAGGGTGAGACCTCCCTGCCCTGACACCAGGCTTCAAACACCCTCCATTTACAGTCATATAGGGACCTAGTGGAGGGGGCCCTAGCATTCTGAATGGTTCGAATGACTGCCTGGGGCAGCTCTGCTGACACTAGCCCGCACCCCTCAGGGGCCAGGCCCACAGGGCCAGCCGTTCTGGATGAGGGTGGAAGATCGAGCCTCCCGCTTGAGACACCAGGTCCCTGCGAAGTGGCAGTTTCCAAGGTTGGCCCTCCAGGAGCTGGAAAATGTCCGCCTCCCAATACATGGCTGGCCAGTATGGGGCCACCAGAATGAGAGTGTGGCGCTGGGTTCGTACCCTCAGCAAGGTGGGTGGTATCAGGGCCACTGGGGGAAAAGCGTAAAGCAGTCCCCGTGGCCAGTCGTGCGCCAGCGCGTCCACGCCGAGTGGAGCATCTCGGTCTCGCAGGGAGAAGAACAGTGGACACTGAGCATTCTCCTTGGAGGCAAAAAGATCCACTACGGCTGTGCCGAACCGGATCCAAATCTGTTCCAACACTGCTGGATGCAGGCTCCAATCCCCGTACAGGGGTGTCCCTCTGGACAACAGATCCGCCCCCCGATTCAGAACACCCGGGACATGGGTGGCTCTGACTGAGAGGAGAGGCCTGCTGCACCATAGGATCAGTCTGCGTGCCAGCGTGTGTAACCGCATGGAGCGCAGCCCCCCCTGGCGGTTTATACAAGCCACAGTCGTGGTGTTGTCTGTTCTCACTAGGACATGATGGCCGGAGAGAAAAGGCAGGAAGCGCCTCAGGGCCAGAAAGACCGCGAGGAGTTCCAGATAATTTATGTGTGTCCCCCAGAACTCTCTGCTCCACACACCCCTGACAGAGCGACCCTCCAGGAGCCCCCCCCCCCCCCAACCTGACAGGCTCGCATCTGTCGTGACCACTTTCCTCAAGAGAACCAACCCCAAAGGCACCCCCTGTGCCAAGAGGGAGGGGTGACGCCAACAGCGGAGCGCCGCGACGCACGCTGCAGAGACCGTCACCCTGCGCGCTCTGTGGCGCACTGGAGAGAGACCCAGAGAAGCCACCCAGCGTTGAAAATCTCTCATGTGTAGACGGCCGAGTGGTACCACTGAAATAGCCGACTCCATGAGACCCAAAAGCCTGAGGCATAACGCAAACCGCACCGAACTGTGTAGGCGGAAGCGCGCCAGGCAGAACGAGAGCGCGTTCACGCGCGGTGCCGAGAGACGGGCCGTGAACGCCCCTGAGTCCAGATTCAGACCCAGAAAGGTTATTTTCTGGGAGGGGAGTAAAGCAATTTTCTGCCAGTTTATTCTGAAACCCAGACCACACAAGTGATGGATCACAACCAGCGTGTTTGACGCTGCCTCCTCTCTGGACCGTGCCAGCAGGAGCCAGTCGTCTAAATACGTGGCCAGCCGAATGCCCCTCCCACTCAGTGGGGCAATCGTCGCCTCCGTACACCTGACAAACACCCTCGGGTTCAGCGAGAGGCCGAATGGGAGCATGGTGTATTTGTAACACACTCCCTGAAAGGCAAACCTCATAAATTTCCTGTGTAGAGGGTACAAGGGAATATGAAAGTATGCGTCCCTCAGGTCGATTGAGGTGAACCAGTCGTTCTGGTGAATCAGATGCAAAAGGGATGAGAGTGCGAGCATTTTGAATCTGTACTTTCTGAGGCATCGGTTCAGGACCCTCAGATCCAGGATCGGGCGAATACCGGTCCCTCCCCGTTTCGGGACCAGGAAGTACCTGGAGTAGAAACCGCTCTGAGACCGATCGGGAGGCACAACGCATATCGCTCCCATCTCTAGCAGGGAGGAGATTTCTCCCTGAAGGATGTGAGCTGATGTCCCCTGGGTGTGGGAGAACACTACGCCGGAGATTCGAGGAGGAACAGAAGTGAATTGGAGCCTGTAACTTCTCGAAATATTTCTTAGCACCCAATGTGAAGCAGAAACTGCTGTCCATTCCTCCATGTGAGTGGAGAGCTGTGACACAGCCGTGACACACGGAGCAGCAGCTCCCTCCAGAGGTTGTGGGGCAGCGGTGCTCGTGGCAACCACTGCGCATGTGCGGGGGCTTTGTGCTTTGACGGCCCTGGTGTACGGGGACGACCCGTGGCTGGCGGGTAAGTCCGCCAGGGGCCGCCCCCGCCTGGAACCGCTCATGGGCAACATTTTTATTGATTTGTGCTGCACCCTTGACATCTTGTCTGGATGCGGCAGCGAACTTTTTAATGCTCCTTGAGCGTGACATGTTTGCAAAAAACAGTGTGAGTGCTTGTGACGTGTGTTTTGAGCTGGCACAGCCGGTTGCATGTCCTGGCCCCACCCTGGACCGCTCAGGGACTCTGCCGGAGGGGTTCCGTGAGGGGGGGGGGGGGGGGGGAAGGCACCATGGCAACATCGAACAGGAGGAGCTGGCGAACGGGGAACTGCCAGCTGCAGCGTTGGGAGGGAAAGAACTCCGTCAAGCTGCCCTCTTCTTCTTCCTCACCTGCTGACCGCCGGGTCGGGTGGGTTGTCCCGGCGGCGGAGCGGCTTGGTTGCCGGATCTCTGAGGCCAAACTGGTCGAGGCGCTGAGCCCGAAGGAGCTGGTTGGACAGCTTGAGGCTTTGAGCACTTTGGGATCCGGAACTGAGGCTGGGCTCAGGCAGCTGCCTGAGGAAGGTTCGGCCGAGCCAGCAGCGCCGGTGAGGGCTTACGGGGAAGGCAGAGATGAAGGGCTTCATCCTCTTTCTTTTTGGCCTCACACCGTTGCTTCATTGATGCCAGGGCAGAGCCAAAAATGCCTTCAGGCACGATTGGCATGTCCAAAATGTCCTCCTTCTCTCTATCAGAGAGGATGGTGAGGTTCAGCCATCGTGCACGTTCTTGAAGCACCATCATGCCCATAGCTTTAGCCGTAGCCTGGACCGCGCAGCGCTGCACACGCAGGCAGATGTCGGTCAGTACGGTGATTTCCTCCCACACCTCCGGGTCCGGCTTCGTATTCATGTCCTCACAGAGCTCGGCTTGGTACGCCGAGAGCATGGAGGAGACATTCAAAGCTCGGACCGAGATGGCGGCAGCCTTGTACGCCCTCTCGTTCAGTGCCGACTGGAAGCGGTCCGCCTTTGCAGGGAGAGCGGGAGGCCTGGAAGAAGTTGCCGAGAGCTGTGGGTGCAGGTGGGCTGCAACCAGCGGCTCCATCGGCGGCATGCGAAGCATGCCAGCCTTCTCCATTTCCTCGAAGTCCAGCGAGGAGGCTCCTTGGACAGGAGACCTGGAGCTGAAAGGGTGTTTGTCCCAGGAGGACCTCACTTCTTGGAGAAGCTCCGGGAAGGCGGGGTTTTGCCGCCCTTGTGGCCTGAGGCAGCTTCTTTCCCTCGTAGCGGGACCTGACAGCCTCAGTGACCACGGTGGGCCAAGGGATGTTGAGCCTGGTCGCAGCACATCGGCAGACTGACTGCATGTCCAGGTGGGCGGCCGGAGAAGCCGCTCCATCCCTGGGAGAGGACGGAAAGCTAGGCATAGAGGCCTGAGCGATGGGGAGAAAAACGTCATCATCCTCGTCCTCCTCTGAAATGAGGAGTCCCGAGGTGTCTTCGTCGTCTCCGTAGTCCAACTCCAACACGTCCTCAACGGGGTGGCTCGGACCGGCCAGTTCGAGCTGTGAGCCCCAGCTGAGTTCGGCACACGGTTCCGGCTCCGGGAGGGCATGTTCGCTGGCGTCCCCAGGCGGTGGCTCAGGGGCCGGCAGGCAAGGGTCCTTCCCCGACAGGCTAGCTTGGCACGCTAACCGCCGGTGAAGGCTCTTCAGGCTGAAGCAAGCACAGCTCTCACATGACCCGGGGACTTCCAATGCCAGCTGGACATGTTCCAGCCCGAGGCAGCTCGAGCAGACCTTGTGCGGGTCTTTGCTCAAGATTTTGTTCCCACAGATACAGAGGCGAGCTCCTGCGCCGTCGACTCCTCTGGTGGGAGGAGCGGCTTCCATGTGGGCTAACTGGTGTGTTAGCAGAGAACGAACAGGTGCACTGGAGTGTGAAGCTGCTCGTTATGCCCCGAGCCTATGGTGAAGGTCAGGACAGAAGGATAGTAAGTTAATGTTCGGCAACGGAGAGAATATTAGCTGGCTCTGTCTGTGAACAGTTGAGCTAACTTACCTTAGAGATAAGCGACCACCGAAGCGAGAAGAGGTGATTGAATAGTGCGTGCGTTGGGACGCTTGCTACTTATAGTAGCAGGGGACGCGTACGTCACGGTCACTGGCCAATCAGGATTGGCGTATTGAGATAAGTGCTTCTGAGGAATCCGCAGAGGGGTGTATCCCATAGTGAGACATCAAAACGAATGTTAAGAAAGAGAACTGAAAGGTCTGGTACTTGTACAGTGAAACGGCACAGCTAAATAAAAATATACATACCAATAGTACTGTAGGGGTTTAAGCCTGCGCACTGCTAGATAGAAGTTTGCAAATACGTGCAGTTCAGCCCTTTGAAACATACCTGCATTATGCAATTTTTTGATGGCTTCAGTCATTAAGCTAGCAGGTCACATGCAGTAATCCAAAATGCAATCAAGAGTCATTGCTACAGGTACATCTTCTTTTTACTCTGGATTCATATGAAAACTACAATCTATTTTTTATGCAGGGTTAGATATTCATTGAACATTGAAAGTTTGTAAATATGACAAAAACCCTAAGAAATTATTAAAAAATGAAGTTAGCATGAGTAAAAGCAGTAAAATATGATTTGAGCTTTGAGTTGAGCAGCATAGACCCATTTACACTTGGTATTAGCTTTAGTGAATAGCTTAGGTGTGAACGTCAAACTCCAGACAGACTGATGGCAGACAACAATCTGATAGACAAGACAACATTAGACAACCATTGCTGTAAACACCAAAGAGTTCGGAACTAGACTAAAACACCACCAACACCCTAATGTATGAAATCTTCTGGCTTTTCCCTTGAAGTGGCTACAGCCAACCATCTGTCTCCATTTAGTCCTGTCTTCTGCATCCTCTACACTCATACCAAGTCACTTCATGTCCTCTTTCACCACATCCATCTTCTTGTTGGTCTTCCTCTCAGCCTCTCAACTTATTTGTAACGTGATATTTCAATGTAAATCACAAAATAAACGTGATGAAAAAAATTACTATTAAAAAATTCTGGAGGGTTTTTACATTGTTGCCAAAATCAAATGAAAACCCTTTTAGTTGTCAGTGTTTTACAATTGCTTTCATTGGTGATGCATTACCCATTACACACAGGAATAGCACATGGATTAAGAGCACAATGTACGAAAAAAAATGTTGGTAGATTATTTTTCATAAAAAGGCTTCTTGGCAACACAGATATCATTGAAAAGCCTTGTAATGATTAACAGCTAAAGGTGAAGCTAGTTCTAATTCCATTTTTGGTTCTTTTTTAAAACACAGGAAAGGTTTCTATTTACCTTGCTGACAGTTTCGTTTGCGTCTGCAAACATCCTCAGAGCTGACGCTGATGGTGGCGTCACTTCCTACTTCGTTTATCCGCAGGCAGCAACGTCCTCTGCTGCCCACGGATAAACGAAGTAGGAAGTGACGCCATCATCAGCGTCAGCTCTGAGGATGTTTGCAGACGCAAACGAAACTGTCAGCAAGGTAAATAGAAACCTTTCCTGTGTTTTAAAAAAGAACCAAAAATGGAATTAGAAGCCAAACACAGAAAGAACGTACCAAAGATGTGAAGCTAGTTCACTCCCAAAAGTGTCAAAATCGGCACATAAGTGGTTGTACTTGCTAAGATTAAATGTGCCAATATACTGATAATTCAATAAAATCTTCATGATTTCACTCTTGACTCTAACCATTAGGCTCCATTATGATTTTTTTCCCCATAGATAGGCATATTCCTTGCATAAATGCATGACTTTAAAGATTAAAGGTGCAATATGAAAGAATAAAGTAGAATGACATCCTGTGGTCAAATTTGGTCACTGCGGTCCATTTTCTTAAGCAAAATTTCACTTTCTCACTGCCGTTCAGTAATGGCGTTTTCACATCTGGCCCAGTCCAGCCTGATCTTGGTAGTGTCGGCCCGTTCGCGCACAGACAGGTTTTGTGCACGAAAGGATGCCGTAGCTTCTTAGGGGCACAAGTAATCATTTCTGGGTCGCTCCTGTTTACTGGCATTGGTTCTTTAAACAACTCTTTTTGCCCACTGGTGTTGATTTAATTACAAATGCCGGCACTGCAGCATTAGCTCACCAGGGACCAAGCAACCTCACAAACTCACTGATTGTAAACAGAAACATGGTCCCTCTTTCGTTTTGGTTAAAGGAGAAAAACTGACCACCCCCCAGCTGGCTGAGAATCAAATCTCTTTCAGTAAAACCTTCTGTCCAACATGATTGAGACAGTAGACTGCTGTGTGATTATTTCTAAATAGAATTCTTACATATAACGGACTCAAAACAAATCTGAAAGGTCTGAATTGATATCAGTCTGGTTCTACACATCAAATCTAAACAGAAACACAAATTTCCTTGACACACCACACTATCCACATGTGACTGGATTCCTCAGACCCACAATAATACCAGGTGTAAATAAGGTCTCTGTAGATCAGATAAATTGGTGTTTTTGGCCCACTAATGTTAGAAAGAGCTTACAAAGCATTTAAAAGGGTTGCATGGAATACATGCTGGTTATTTTTGCTTCTTGCCTTACCTCTCCATTGACCTAAACTCCTCAAAGCAGAAAGATAAAACAAAACAAAATAAAATGCAAGTTTACATGAAAATAAGTTCACAAGCCATAATGAGAGTCTTGTATCCTTTTAAATTTGAAAAACAGACAATGATTTGGGGAATTGCAAGAAAATAAAAACCGGATGCATAAACATCCATAATTAAAGCTAGACAGGCAACAAAATGCTAATTTAAATCTATTTCTTGATAAATTTTTTAGATCGTAAAAAGAAATGACACTATGGATGTAATGTTTTTCTTCTCATGGTTAGTATATTTTAAAAGAGAAGAGAAAACTTGTTAAACTTGAACTATTCTATATTAAATTAATCTCTTTTACTATCAGAGGGCCAGTGGGGTGGCTTTGTAAAGAGTGCTGAGGATGTTGCCTTGCCTCTATGCAGTGTTTGGAAAATGGAGTCTGAAGAGGAGAGTGTCTCTGCAGCCTGGTAACATGTTTTACACATATATATCCACATCAGGACAAAATAAGTGAATTAAAAACACAAAAATAAAACATTTGTCATCATTTCTCACCTGTACTCCCCAAATGTTCCATCGTCCTCCTTCATGGGCTGGATCTCTGGGTCTTGGTGAGCATCTTCTTTCTCTTTCACTGTAGATTATACAATATATTTATTCTAAATGAGTGTCCATTTGTATCAAAGGGCTTGAACTCAGATGTGTAGCCTTACCTGGATATTTTCCTCCTTTGTTCCTCTTGATGAAGCAGACTATGAGAAGCACCAGGATCAGGAGAGCAATGGCACACATCAGTCCAATAAACCATCCCTGTGTGGCGATGTCGATCTGCCGGTTGGGGACAGCTGAACGGAGAAAGCGAAACAGAAAAAAGAAATGTATCAGTTTTAATACAGGCTGTGAAATTATTGAAACACTGAGATTATCAGAGGCTGTCATGGGATTATAAAATGGGTTAAAATGAAGATATTAGTTAGACGGTATAAAAGAAAAACAAGATGTTATAAAATGATGAACATTTACACAATTTTATGGCAAGCACTGGTGACAAAGTCTTCAGTACCTTTTTTTTTCTCTTTTTCATGTAAATAGTATTGAAATAAAATCATCAATGTCTCTTTTCACCCTAAATTGAAGTTTTACTGCAGTAGAGTTAAGTTATTGTGTTTAAAGATAAAATAATATATATGTTGAAAATTAATATAGAAAAAATATTTAGCAGGACAATTTTTTTTGTCTGATTAATTTGCTAGTGTGCAAAAAGTTGTACTTAATAATCTGGGGAAAAGATGTGGCTACCTTTTACAGTCACCTAATCACTAAGTACTTACATGGTAATTACATAGTAAGTAAAAGTGTATTATTGTTTCTGAATTCTTGAACTGTTATTGCCATGTGACTCAGGTTCAATTCTAGTTCTTATTTTATTAACCATTCCCAGTAAATAATTACACCTTATTACAATTATACACTTTAATTACACAGTAATACACTTTAACTACTTAGCAATTAGGGGACTGTAAAAGGAAGTGTTACCAAAAATGGATATTTGACTATTTTCTATTCGTTAAGTAAAAAATAACATTGACCCTTTAAAGCCTGATATGTGACATTACAATTAGTAGTTTTACTTGAGCTAATCTTACTTTAACAATTATCTAATTATTTAATAAACAGAGGGCACCTGGTCTCTCTCGAAAATGAAGTTCTTAATCTGAATGGGATCGCCTTCCCAACTAAATAAAGGTTAAGTAATAACTATGTTTTGATTTGTGATTATACAATAATTTTACTAATATAAGTAAATAAACTGATGCTCAACACATGTAGTACTTATATCCACCACCGGAGGTAGGACACTGAAACCTATGGAAAAATACATTTCACAGATTTTTTTAAAAGAATGCACAAATACTGCTAAAGAGGTAGAGCTCCTTTAAACCCAAGAATAATCTAATCAAATATGATCATTCTTGCATAAATATGTTAACACTGAACTGTGTATTTCACATACTTGTCTCTAATATCCTTATTTCAAGCCTCTAATTAATATCTCAGATTGAGATGGTAAGACTGAATGTATGCAGTCAAAATGTTGTGGATTCATGAAAAACAAAACAAAAAAAATCAAGGTTAGAGTTACTTAACATGAGACAACCCTGAGGCAAACGGATAGCAACCAGCACACAAACTAGGAACGTAACACTTGACATATGATGATGAACATTCACACAAAAATGAGCAAAAATAAACAGAAAGACCGTCTACGCTGAGGCATGCTGCCTCACCTGGCACTGTAACCGACACTTCATTTGTCTTGTGGACCGTCTGGTCAGCTCCGTCTCGAGCTAACACACAAACCCTATAGGTTGTCCCCGGCTTTAAGCCTTTAATTGTATGTGAATGTGTACCGTTTACCAACTCCCTCTTCCAGTCCTCCTCACCTGGAATCGGTTGAACGGATGGAGAGAGATTAGAATCAGACTCAGTTCACATAGGTATGCACAGGTTTTCAAAAAAGAGTTAAAAACAAGAAGCCTTACTGTTTTCTACATTATATTCCACAAATACATTCTTATGGTGTCCAAAGTATTCCCAACTGATCACTGCACCTCCCTCAATCGCAGATGCATTAACTGTGCCAAACACAGGGCCAACAGGAGGCACTGAGACCACAAGGGAGACAAAAAGATGAGTTCAAAATGCAAATCAAGTTTGCAACAAAACTTGCTAGTGAGCCAAAGTGTGTGCAATATCTGCACACATCACAGATAATCACAGTGTGTTTATCAAAAACAGTCCAATGAAATACATGTTAGAATTATTAGGAACTCAGACATTAAGTCTGGAAAATTACTCATAAGATCAATTTTTGCAAATTATATTCAGTAATTTCACAAAAGCTATTTTTTTACTAGTAAAGAATATTATAACTAAAATGTTTTCTTCTGTTACGGTTTCATCTCTTTTTTTCCACTGTCTTTGATTTGATGTTTAGAAGTTTGTGATTCTTTTAGAAATTCATTTTTATTTAAAGAGTAATTCACCTCCAAATCAACTTTTTTTTCCTGATAAACTATATAAATGCGTGTCTAATCATGTTGCAGACACGTGTAGTCAATAGTTTAGCATTTTAGTGCATTTTAGTTCAAATTAAAATTTTCTGCCTAAAACTATCAGCGTTGTGCCGTTGTCAGGTAAAAACTCTGCACTGCATTTGAATTTAAATCTGCCATTGTATTTGCTATTGGCTAAGAGGTACCCTAGGATGTTAGCTGGTACCATATGATGTCAGAATGTTGTTGTGAGCCTGTGTGTGTGTGTGTATTTGTTAGCGGCTCCGCCCCCTCGATCTGCTAGGCAACGGCATTTGGTGCATTTTTCAAACAGGAAGTGGGAGTGGAGTAATACTCTGGTATGGGGTGACCCTGTAGGGAATGCACACCATCAGAAAATGTAACTCCACCCTTAGTAAAGATTTGAAAAATGCCACGAAAGTGAGCATTGCCAGGAGGCACAGAGTGGCATGGCCAAGTGTGGGGAATTTCCATCCTGAGAGGGAGAGGGAGGGGGAGTGGGAGGAGACCATACCGATGACTTGAAATTGTACCAGCCCCAGTCAATCACAAGTTTAAAATGCAGTAGCCGCTGTTCTACCACAGGGGGCAGCACTAAGACATTTTTAGACCTAGATTCTAGATTTAATCAAGTTTACACAAACATGTCAAAAAATGCACAGAAACAGGAAGATTGCATTTGTAAAGACCCAATTATACAGCTTATTAGCAAAAAAGTTAGTTTGGGGTTTAGTTACTCTTTAAGCCTATATTTTTTCACAATTTCTAAAGGAAAGATGGAGAGAGTGATCTTAATAGAAATGCACACAAAAGTCTTGGAAACATTTTTGAAATACTTGTTTATGTATTTAGCAGAAGGTTTTTATCCAAAGTGACTAACTGATGAGAATGTAACAAAGCAGTCACGACTAACAATAAACTACTTCCAGGGAACATAGAAGTGACAGGGTGTAGAAAACTGAGTATAAGCAAGAGAGTGCAGCTGAGTAAAGGAAGGAATATATAACCCATTTATTTCCAGTTTCCCAAGTCTCAGTTAGGAATTGTGTGGAAGACCCAGAAGTAAACATGTAAGATACTGATTGCTGCTCTCAGATATGTAACATTGAACCCCTTCTTTCCTTTTTGTCTCATTTCTTTAATACAGAATCTCTGTTTCTACTGAAACTCATTCACTGCCATTGACGACAAAAGTCGTCATTTTAAATCCAATGACTTCCAATTTGCATACGAACCGGAAAAGCTTCTGCCGATCACAATTTCAATTATTCAATTATGAAAGAATGGATATCGCTCGAAATGCGTGGATTCTTCCTGATGTAAGAGGTGAGTTTACTCTTTGTTTTGTTAGTTTTGGCATTGACATCATCCTAGCACGCAAAGTTCTGCGACTCTTAAAAAACAGTAAAAACACTGAAAAACACTGGCAGCGAAGGGCTTTACTGATCAGGAAACGGCTGACAGTGAATGAATTAAACGGATTCTTCAAAACCTTTTACCTTGTTGTTGTTGAATATGGAAAGCTTGTGGTGTCTAATGTAACATATCAAAAAGGCTGTGCCGTCTCTGTCCTGCTTTGATTTGTAAATGAATGATATTGAAAAAGCCCTGAAGAAAGGATTTGTTCTGAGTAGAGCTGGTTTAAGCCCTGATGGGTATAGACACACACCATTAAATTTGCACATCCTAACCAGACCTGGACTGGGATGAGAATTCAGCCCTGGCATTTATCTGTCCTCTGCCCTCAGAGCGGGGGTGGGGTGGTGGGTGCTGGCGAAAATGTCTATGGCGGGGTGGGGGGGTGGGGGTGGGGGGGGGGATGGGACTCGAGGATAACTCTCCGCGACGTCGGCTGTCAGAGCGGGATGGGTGGGGGTTGATAACCAGACCGGCCCACCAGGAGGCGCCCGGTATGCCAGATAGCCAGTCCGACCTTGATCCCAACCCACTCCACTAACCCAACCCACTTCAACATCAGCAATATAACTGCAGAATTTTTGCCCATGCTACTGCTAACTAGCTTGCTGGACAAGAGGAAAAAACAAAGGAGAATATCGGAGCACACATGTAACGCTGCAGGCTGTACTGGGAATATCCGGAATCTGAATGAAAGATGGGGAGATAGACCCACAGCTTGTCTATGGCGTCATCCGGCTACTGTACACAGAGTTACTAGCATCAGTCCGTCATGGAGACATCGGTGTTAACTGGACAATCAGTACACAGTTCACTTATTTGTGCCCTCGCCAAGTGGGCGGGGCAAACCAACCTTTCCAATGTGGGGCTCCTGGGCCATTGAGAGGCCCAACAAAGTTTCATAAGCCATATTGAGGCTGAAAGAAGGAGCTTCCAATTTTCCAATCTTTTTTTTTTCATTCCAGAGAGTTCACAAACTTTTAAACACCACTGATGAGATTAATAGAATTTGCTGATTGGATATTTTGGGGGAGGAAGGGAGGGCATGGGGGAGTGCTTGTACCCTTGTGAAACGTGGGTTGCAGAGACTGAGTGATGGGGGGAGTTTGGTGAGGGGGCTCTGTGGGGCCTGAAAGGACACAGAAAGAGTGAGACAAGAACACAGAACAAAACACAGCTTGCATTACTGAAACATGCTGCTGCAGCTCAACTAGACCGAAAAAGATCAAATAAATGAATGAATGAATGAAGCAAAACAGCCTGGATTCACAACACAACGGCATGCACATGGAGTTAGGATAAAATAAAAGTCTATTTGAGAGTAAAGTTGTGTAAATGGAGAGGATGGTAAATATGGTTGTAATCAACACAAATTAAGACAAAAGCTGTCTAAATGAGATGTAACTTAGAGATTGCAAAAATTTTAAATAAAAAACTAAAAGCACAGCTAACATCTAACACATACAACTATAGGTTGTCGTAAACTAGCCTATTTTTTCCAAATAAGCATAAACGGTTTATTTTGCATGCCATGGAAGTCTTTTTTTCTGTAACACGTGCAGAAAAATGAGATAACTAGATGATCTATGCTAAGATTTGAGGGGATTTTGGGATATCTTATGAGAAAACGAGCATGCAGATACTTCAACTGACACACAGGGGTTACCTTTGTCTGTTTCTACAGTGGGTTGAATAAAAGCTTAAAGGAAAAGAGAAAAAGATCAAAAGAATTTAATATGTTGAGCAAATAGTGCAGAAGGGACTGCTTGATTTTGCTTATTTGGGGTGGGGCAGGGGTATTCCTTTAATTGATCATTATTTCTTTGAGGCTGGTGGTAAAAGATTATTCCACGCAGGACTCACCTATATCCATGGCCGTATAGGCCTCCTCTGTGATATTGGGGCCTGGGCCCCTGACAGTTGTGGCGCTCAGGTAAAACTTGTAGAGGACGCTGGAGTTCAGGCTGCTCAGAGTGAACGTGGTCTCATTGGCTTTAAAGCTAAACTTCCTGAGTGGTCCCAGTTCGTTAGTGGTGTTGACTGTTGAGAGGGTGAGGAGTAGACAGCGACGGGTAAGGAAACAAAGAATGAAAAGAAATGGATCAAACTGCTGCTAACTATACCTGGTTGGAAGTTGAGGGTGTATCCTGTGAGGCGACCGTAGTTGTTGACCGGTGGACCCCAGTTCAGAGTGAGAGAGTTCAAACCCGGGTTGATCACTCTGAGAAAGGAAGGAGGTCCTGGCACTGAAAACCGACAGAGTAATGTATTTGATTCATTGTGATATAGAAATATCTACTACAAAATATCTTTGTTGTAAAACAGACTTCTGAAATACAGTTAATGTGAATATGTTCCATCAAACTGAGCCACTGTTCCTTCATCAATGCATCCCTACATTTCTAAAACTAGTTGAATATAACCAGTTTGTAGCCTGGCCTGCCAGACTCATCCTCTGTTTAATCCTGCACAGAAAAAGAGTCTGGTTACTCACAGGCAGAGAGGCACATGAGGGGCAAGACTAGGCAGCTCAAAAATAACCAATCATAAATAAAGATGGAAATGCAGACTGTAAAACTACAGCGTTGTACTTGTACAATACTGTAGTTTTTTTTTAGCTGTGGTAAAAAAAAGGCATCTGGCAACATGTCTGGTGGACATGTCTTTAAATTCACAGGAAGAAGAAGCGCTAAAAGCCTTTCTTCTAAAGAAAGATGTTTGTGCTGTCGCCAGACACAGTCATTGTCTTTGGACTACAGCTAAAAAACTACAGCATCGCGCAATACAGTTGTCATTTCCGCCTTTTGTCTGATTGGTTACTTTTGAGCTGGCTAGTCCCGTCCCTCATGGTGCTCTCTGCCTCTGAGTATTCAGACTCGTCCTCTGTGTAGAATAGACACAGGGCGAGTCTGGCAGGCCAGGCTAGTTCTACCACTGACTCTGTTTACTTTGCAACATTGATGTTTTATCTCCACAAATAACACAAGCCTGGAGGAGTTTTGCAGTGTGGTAGAGTTGCTAATGCTAACGGTTAGTTTCTACTAGTCGTGATGTTCTCTGCTGTTTCCTAGGTGCTAAACAACAACCTTGTCTGTCAAGAGTCAAGATGGGCGAGTCCATAAATGCTAAGTGACATTGTGATGTCACACTGTCAGGCTTTTTAAATCCTAGAGTTTCACCACCTATTTTCTATCAGACGCTAATGCAGGAGATAGGGGACAGGCTCATTACATGCAAAGCCTGATATTTCAAGGCTTGATCTGTTATACCTGCACTATTTACCAATCTGATTTTAAGGATTTTCCAGCTACCTGGACTTATGTTTTTCTCTGTGGTGCTCATAAGTACCACACACTAAATTACCTCTGCGTTTGAAATGTATAAGAAAATCTGCCCTGGCTTGCCAAAAAAAGAGTGCTTAGCTTTGGCTGTCTTTTTGTCAGTTGTATTTAGTTCTGTCAAAAGCTGTTTGGTATTGTTACAGAGGAGTTAGTCTGTCCTCAAAAGTTCAACATTGTGTCGTGACTGCTTTGTAACCAACACAATGCAGAATACCACTAATTACACACACCTCCTTCAGGTGTTTCAAAAGTCAAGATGGGGCTGGGTGGTCCTTCTCCTTTGCTGTTGAGGACCTTGATGTAGAGGCTGTAAACACTGTAAGGTTGGAGGCCTGGCAACATTCCCTCACTACGGTTTCCGTTAAAGGTTAAATGTTGCTCCTGCTGATCGAACTCCTCCTCAGTGCCATGCAGGCCTCGCTCCCGACGGTAATACAGCTAAATGAAAAGCACAAAGAGTATAAGTGTGAGACGCTGCAGATTTGTAGTGATCACTCATAAACACCACACAGTTGTGATAAAAAAGGTGAGGCTGTTTTTTTAGATGTGAAAGAGTAGGGTAAGCACAGCTGTATTAGGTACCTCATATGTCTGATATAGCACTTTCTAGAGTCCTGGAACCCCCAAGGCACTTTACAACACAATCAGTCATTCACCTATGCACACACACATTCACACCTTGGTGGTGTTGAGCTACAGTGTAGCCACAGCTGCCCTGGGGCACACTGATGGAAGTGAGACTACAGAGCACTGGAGCCACCGGTCCCTCCAACCACCACCAGGCAATGTGGGTAAAGTGTCTTGCCCAAGGACACAACAGCAGCATTCTCTTCCAGGAGCCGGGATCGATCTTAGAACCCTGCGAATACTGGACGACTCACTCTACCTCTTGAGCTACTGCTGCTAAAGTTGCCAGTTTACACTGTGTTACGCTCATTAGTGGTTTGCAGAGCATCTAGTGGGCACAGGCTGCAGAAGTGGAATGCAGCCATCATTAGTTCATCAGTGCTTCTCTTGCTCATAAATTAATATTGTTCCTATTATCCATTATGCTGTCCTCATAACTACCTAAAGCCTAAATCTAAAAGAAGAGTTTTACTTAGATAAAAAGGACAACAATTGTAGATTTTTAGTTTGTTGTAAACATCATAACGAAATGAGACCTTCAAAATTCAAGCATCGTTTTCCTACCCCTAAGTATCAGAATGGTTTGGAAATGATCTCCAAACTTTTTATCACTAAATAATAATTATAATTCATTCATGCTTCAAACTGGCAAACTGTGTCAACTTTTGCTTTCAAAAGTTTATAAAAATGAAAGGTACCTTGTATCCTTGAAGTTTCCCTCGAACAGACTGAGTAGGTACGGGCTCCCAGTGCACCTCAGCTAGCGTGCTGTTGTGGACCTTCACCTGGACATCATCAGGAGCAGACAAAGGCACTACCAAACAGAGAATTTTTATTAACTTCTTTTGTAAAAAAAAAAACTGTTTTCAAAATCACTTCTTCTGTCACTCACCGTCTTCTCCTGAGTAGCCAATCACGACCTCCGGTTCAGGGCCGTGATTGTAGTCATTGAAGGCCTGAACTTTAATTTCATATGGCACGTATGTCTGAGTTCCAGTCACAATGAAATGAGAAGAATTAGTGACGTTCACTGAGGACCAGTCTTTTTCTACATCCTTCTGTCTCCAGTGCACTTTGTACTTCAAACCCGGTCCATTAGACTGGAATCCTGTAAGTGGCTGCACAGAAGGAAGTTTGGATGAGAGTGAGATATAAAAAAAAATGACGTTCTTAGGATTTTCCTTTTGCTGTTAAATGTTTAAGGCCTCCTTACTGTCCACGTGATCACCAAGTTGTCGGGCTTCGTTCCTACTCCTTGAACATTGGATGGATTTTCATCCGGGGCTATAAAAGTAAAATAAATAAAGTTTTCACTCTGTCCACCTTTTACACGAGTGGATATTAGATTTTCGGATAAAGGATCTTTTTATTACGTGCAGGGTTGGTTAGGTATTTGGCTGAGGAATCACTGGGCTGGCTGTAGCCCACTTGATTTCGTGCCTGCACTCTGAAAGAGTAGTACACATAGGGAGACAGCAGCAGCTGGGCTGTAATGCTGCTACCAGGAACTTCTGTCAGGTTGACCCAAACTCCTGGCTGGTGGAGCAAATCCTCATATTGGATCAAGAAGCCTGGAGAAGATACACAATCCAGGCTTTAAGAGTAAATCCGATGGTAGATAAGGACTAAAACACAACGATCAATCAATCATGAAAAACTATTTTGATGTATGTAAACATTTTAAAGTTGATTAAAGGTGCTGGACACTTGTTTGATCAATAATTCTAACCCTAGTTGAAATGAATGCCTTCTAAGTCATACTTGAAGGGGAAAAAGCCACAAAGGCTTGGATCAGCACGGATGAGTCAGCTGGAGGAGAGTGGCAGACATCTCTCCTCAGATTGGATGAAAGCAACGCGGCTCTACCACGGATATTGTTGGCTCTGCAATGTTGAGGTTTTATTTCCACCAATAACATAAGTCTGGAGGAGTTCTGCTGTGTGGTGGAGTTACTAATGCTAATGGTTAGCTTCTACTAGTAGATACATTCTCTGCCGTTTTCTGGACACTAAAACAACAAAAGCCTTCCCTGTCGTGAGTCAAGATGGGTGAGTCCATGAATGTTAAGTGACAGTGTGACGTAGATCTGCCGGGCGTTTCTAATCCTAGAGTTTCACCGTAACTTTACCTAATAACTTATCTTAGTAAACACTTTGCAAGACCAATACTGTGGGAAATATTTGCATTTTCTCTTGAAAGCTTTCATGTAAGTAAATATTAGTCAAAAATAAAAAGAAATACAGAATCAGTCTGTTTAAAACTGATGTTTGTATTCAAGTTTTTCAGTATGAGAATCCAAAGGCTGGGCCAAAGAACGTTTTGTCAGTGGTCTAGAGTTTGACACTGAACAGATGTAGAAAAGTTGGGAAGAAATGCTATGAAATTAGAATGAACATTGTTTATTTCATACTCTGTACGGGACTGTTATGTTCATCTCCAGGGGTCCAGGTGAGCTGAATGCTCCTGTCTGTTTGGTCGGTAAGCTCCAGGTCAGTCGGAGGGTCGGGTACCTCTGCAAAAAATGATCCAAGTTGTTAGATATTTATAGTGTGTCAACTGAAACAAGTCAAACTGATGCAATAGTCTTTCTAATTTAACAAAAATAAGATAGAAACTCTAATTAAGCAACACATTCTTTAATTTATGCCCTAATTTTGCTTTTATTTAGAGAATGGTTTATGTTGCAGGAATGATTTTCAAAACAATTTAAAAATACCCTTAAAATTAAATATTAACAAGTAGAAAATAAATAATAGGAAGGAATGTTGTATGAACTTTATTTGCCTTAATCATTTAAAGCAGCAATCTGGAATTTTCAGCAGCCTCTGCAGGCCTGTCGTTGGCCTGAGCAGTTTTGTGTCTTGCCAATCAGAGCACTCTACTGTTTTGGTGGGTTTGTGGGATTAGGACAATGCTGCAATGGAGCGAAACGACAAAGATGGCAGCAGCTCTTTAGCATCCACTTTGGACAATTTAGACTAGGGCTTTTCTCTTAGTCAAGAGCAGATAGAGGTACTTAAGTCCTTTATTTAGGAAAAGGATGTATTTGCATCTTTGTTGACAGTGTATGACAGACTGCCCCATTGACTGACATCAGCAGCAGTGAGTATGTCTTTTTGTTTGGACTGGTCCTAGCATTGTCCAATAGCATGCAGAGACAACTGTAGATTCCAACCTGACTGAGCTTCCTCTATGGTTCGTGACCAGACTATAAATTAATATATATAGGATGGCTTGCCATGCAAAGACAAAAGCAGAGTTGGTGACATTTCTTCAGGACACGTAAGTCTTTAAATTTTAAATATATGAATAAACTGCATAACAGCATAATGTAAAACAGTGTGTTTGCTCTGTTGCTGGGTTAGAGGTGTGCGTTTGTGAACAACCGTGAGGCTTAAGGTGTAGTACATTTTCCTGCCTCTAGAGGGTGTCCTCTGACAACAAAAATGTGAATTTCTGCTTTAGTAAAAAAATGAAAAAGGCAAAGGTGAATGGTAGCGAATATTGATTATATGTAATCAGTAAAACACAGAAGTAGCTTGCAGAAAGTGTTACGAGAAAAAAGCTTGCTCAAATAAAACAGTTTTTTTCCACTCCTACACAGGTGTCTTCACTTGTGTCTGACTAAACTTGCTGAAGTGAAGAAAATGCACTAGATCAGGGGTGCCCAATCCTGGGCCTGGAGGTCTGTATCCAGCACGTTTTAGTTTTAACTCTACTTCAACATACCTGATTGCAATCAGCAGGTGATTAACAGGCTTCTGCAGAGCCTGATGAGCTGCTGCAAAGCTGAATCAAGTGTTTTGAATCAGAGAAATCATTAGAACATGCTGTATACTGGACCTCGAGGACCAGAACTGAATACCCTTGCACTAGATAATAAAGGAAAAACACCCATGGCTGCTTGATGGTAGCACGGATGTATTGAATTTAAACTAAATAAGGTAAAACTAACCTAAAGTAGCACATTTTAGGAAGCAAACCCCTGATTAAATGAACTGGATGGAAGCTACAGTGGTTTGTTTACCGTAAACAATTGCTGGGGTAGGAGTTGCCTCTGACAGCAAGAAGAAAAGAGTAAAGTCCAGAAAGAGAAGATGTTAGTGATAGGCATTATTAAAGAAAAGGATGGAAAAGCAGAAAAATTACAACTGTAAAGAGATTCTAGAAATAAATCCAGAAAAATGTTATTGATAAATTAAAAAGGACTTGAAATTAAAAAGCTAAATTTAAAATGTTTTTAAATACACAACAGAGGCAGGACAGATTACAGATTAGTAGAGATTTAAGCTACTATATGTCTGTACAATAACATGATGTGCCAACATTTGATTTTAAACATTTCCAGGAACAAAGAACAAAATTATTATTCAACGTACCTACAACAGTCAGCGTGGCGCTGGCTGAGTCCTGATCCAGAATGGTGTTAGCGATGCATGTGTAAGTGCCCTTATCATCATCTATCACATCATTGATGATCAGACTCTCCTTGCTCACCACAAACCTGTAAGTATTACCAATCAAAATTAGTTTTCTGAGTTGTATTTCAGACTTTAATCTGGATTCAGCATTGTGTGTGTGTGTGTGTGTGTGTGTGTGTGTGTGTGTGTGTGTGTGTGTGTGTGTGTGTGTGTGTGTGATTTCTCTCTTTACTATTCACTCTCTCTCTTTCTTAACATTTTTTCTTTTAAATCGCAATTGCTTATTTTTGCTCATTTTACATATATTTTTAAACATTTTCTAAATGCTTTTTTATATTTTTACATTTTTATTTTTTTATTTTTTGTTTTTGTTTTTGCGAAGCGCCTCATGATTTTTATGTTGAGAGGCGCTATAGAAATGATATTTTCTTCTTCTTTCTTCTTTGTGTGTGTGTGTGTGTGTGTGTGTGTGTGTGTGTGTGTGTGTGTGTGTGTGTGTGTGTGTGTGTGTGTGTGTGTGTGTGTATGTGTGTGTGTGTGTGTGTGTGTGTAGGACCTCTCATCAGGAGGCAGCTCTACACTGTCTTTCAGCCAGGTCATGGTAGGAGTGAGGGTACTGTCGTGTTTGACCTGACACTCGAACACAACGCTCATTCCTCTCTGTACCATTCTGTACTCTGGTTGCTTCAGGATACGAGTCGGCTCTGAAGTACAGACAAGATTGGGTAAATATTGATAATTAATGCAGCTTTGCGACTTAAGTTTGTTAGGAAAAACAAACAGAATCAACATATTGACCTTTGACCTCCAGGGAGACGTGGTTTTCTTCCCTCCCCAGGTTGTTCGTGGCGATGCAGGTGTAGTTTCCACTATGTAGCGGCTGGGCCATGTTGATTTCCAGGGAACCATTCTCATGGATTACATATGGGTCAGCATTCCTAACACTGACCTGGAAATCTTTAAACCTGTTTAAAAAATGGCCAAAATGATAGATGCAGTACAATGATTGTGACTTAGACCGAAATGTACCGTTGTGAATCAGACCAAAGAAATGATTTCTGAAGCGCAGCTTTGAAGCCTTAAGTCTGGATGATGTTCACAGTCGACGTTGCTTTCTTTCCTTTTTTAAAATGTTTTGTAAGTTTCACCAACTTCACTTATCTATGAGATCAGCTGTGAATTTTCACTGCTGCCTTGGCAGTTTTGGAGGTTTAAAGCATTGATAAACAAACTGACATCGAAAGTAAAAAGATTCAGTATTTTACACAAAAATCAAAGTCTAAAATAAACTATAGACATAGAAGAACTGTATATGAGCGTGTGTTAGATTTAGGCCCAATCTTAGTGGGAAATACAAGGTTTGAAATAACAAATGAATTCAGCTTTCTATTGGTAGCACCAAGAAAGGGCAAGTGGACTCATCTTGTTGCTTGAGGACATTTGACCCCTCATCCAGAAAGTTCTTCTGTTCTGATCATGAGTATAGGCAGCAGTAGCTCAACAGGTTGTGCGGGTTGTCCAGTAATCGGAAGGTTGCAGGTCGATCCCGGCTCCGGACAATGAATTCTGCTGTTGTGTCCTTGGGCAAGACACTTAACCAACCTTTCCTGCTGGTGGTGGTCGGAGGGACCGGTGGCGCCTGTGCTCAGTATTCTCACTTCCATCAGTGTGCCCCAGGGCAGCTGTGGCTACATCGTAGCTCATCACCGATTCTGTTCATAACCTTTATGGACAGTATTTCTAGGCGCAGCCAAGGTGTGGAGGGCATCCGTTTTGGTGGCCTGAGGATCAGGTCTCTGCTTTTTGCAGATGATGTGTCCTGTTGGCTTCATCAGAACGTGATCTTCAGATTTCGCTGGAGCGGTTCGCAGCCGAGTGTGAAGCAGTTGGGATGAGAATCAGCTCCTCTAAATCTGAGACCATGGTCTTGATTCGGAAAAGGGTAGAATGTCTTCTCCAGGTCAGGGATGAGGTCCTGCCCCAAGTGGAGGAGTTTAAGTATCTTGGGGTCTTGTTCAGGAGTGAGTGAAAACTGGAGCATGAGATCAATAGGCGGATTGGTGCTGCATTTGCAGCGATGCGGGCGTTGTACCGGTCTGTCATAGTGAAGAGAGAGCTGAGTCAAAAGGCGAAGCTCTCGAGTTACCGGTCGATCTACGTTCTTACCCTCACCTATGGTCATGAGCTTTGGGTAGTGACCGAAAGAACGAGATCGTGGATGCAAGCGGCCGAAATGAGTTTTCTCTGAAGAGTGGCTGAGCTCTCCCTTAGATATAGGGTGAGAAGCTCAGTCATTAGGGAGGGGCTAGGAGTAGACCCGCTGCTCTTCCACATCGAGAGGAGCCATTTGAGGTGGCTCGGACATCTGGTCAGGATGCCTCCTGGACACCTCCCTGGTGAGGTTTTCTGGGCACGTCCAACCGGGAGGATGCATAAAGGTAGACCCAGGACACGGTGGAGGGACTATGTCTCTCACCTGACCAGGGAACGCCTTGGGATTCCCCCGGAGGAGCTGGTCCAAGTGGCTGGGGAGAGGGAAGTCTGGGCCTCTGGCCTTAGGCTACTGCCCCCGTGACCCGACTCCGGATAAGCGGATGAAAATGGATGGATGGATAAAATAACAGTACATATCCAAAACATTTAACTTAAATTTTACAAACACAAACATTTTAGAAAAACACATTTCAGTTATTTAAAATGTTATCCCAAATTTAATTAAAAAAATTTTTTAGGTTAATTCACCTGTTGCTGTGTTCACAAAAAAAAAAACATGGAGATAAAAACTTTTTTAAAATGGTGAGCAGCAGAAACGTATGTATTTTTTTTATTCTGATTATTTCTTTACTCATTAATTGTAATATTTTTATTTTGTTTTACAATTATGTCTTGAATAAACAAGATCAATAAATGGTTTGACAGAACATTTGTTAACCCTAGCTTTTGCTAGGAGGACCAGCAATTTTCTCGGGGTGGCCATGGCCATCCCTGGCCACCTGTTGGGGTGCTCTTGCTAACCAGGAGACGTCCAGTTGCCAGTTTTTTAATCTCTTGACATTGCCATGTCCTGGAGGAATGAGAATCTTCACTATAAGTGATTAATGTCATACCATGTGATGGTTGGTATGGGAGAGCCAAAGGAGGAGCAGTCGAGTAAAGCTGGGTTGTTGGTGATGACCCGGTACACTTGGTTGGGTGGAGTAAGCACCCTTGGTCGTTGAGCTATTGAGGGCAAAAGCAAACGCCGAAATCAGAACTTTCTAAAATTCCTTTCCTCACACAGAAGCCTGTAAGGTTTTAAGTCATGATGATTAAATGTTTTGTAACTCACCCAGAACGCTGACAAAAGCATTTGCCAACAAGTAGCCATACTCATTGGATGCGTTGCATTGATAGACGGCGCTAGTCCCGGTTTGCACATTGCTCAGAATCACAGTGTCATCTTCCACTTTGCGACTGTGGTCCTTTGGGTCATCTAGCATGAAAATAAATGTGAATAAATATTTATTTTATCCACAAATTTCAACGGCACCAGCACACAATGTAAACCTTTAAATCTGATCACTAACAATTCACTGGAACTGTTGGTTAATTTACCGTGGCAACCCACAAAGTAGATTTTACACGTTCTGTTCTCTATAAAAGCATACAACATGTGGTACAATCTGTTTTATGACAGCATTCTCTCAGTTTACTCACTCTCTATGGGAATTCCATTCACAAACCAGCTAATATTTGGTTTAGGGTCTCCATCAACGCGACAGGTGAGGCTGTCCGTCTCATTCGGAGCCAGAATCAGGTTCCTGGGGGCACTGACCCAGAAAGGAGCCGCTAGAGAAAATGGACAGAAAAAATGAGTAAAGGAAAGGATTTCTCAGGAAGAACAAATTTAATTTTGAAAATTTTAAAGTGATGAAGACACAGTTGTGTCAGTGCAAAGGGAAGTTTAGACCTCCACGTGAAATATCCATCCATTCATTATCTTCCACTTATCCGGGGTTGGCAGCAGATGAAGCAGAGAGGCCCAGACTACCCTCTCCCCAGCCACTTGGGCTATAAATATAATAAATAAATAAAAATACCTGTTTATTTTAATACCTTTGACAGTCACTTTAATGATGTGGTGTACAGAACCCAGCTTGTTGGTGGCCGTACAGCGATAGTCGCCAGCATCCCCTTCATTTACATTAGAAATCATCAATGTTTTATTGAAGTTGTAGAAAACCGTCCTGCCACTTTGCAGCTCTCCTCCAATCTTATGCCAGGAAATACTTGGAGTAGGCCTGTCAGAGAAGGTATTAGGCAGATAAAGGGCAATCTCATCAGATTAGTTGATTACATTATTAAAAAAAGACAACTTACAATCCCTCAGCAATGCACTCCAATGCCAAAGTTTGTCCCCTTAGAACCATCTTGGTGCTTGTGGAACCAAGAGGTAACATAAAACCTGGCCGACGGTCCCCTTCTGGGCTGCCTAAGATGATGAAATCAGATTCAGTTTAAAGTGACGTTATGCTACAATGTCTAAAAGACAAGTATCAAACAGGTAAAATGGGAATTAAAAACTGTTAATGAAGAATAACGTAAAACTAAATTAATATATTAATAAAACCACAGAGTAATGAGTTGAGGCCAACATCAAGGGACCAAGGGAGTAAAAACATCACTGACATAGTTGAATGGGAACAAACCATCAGCACTCACTACTATGGAAATCTCAGATATTGTATAAATACAAACCAGAGTTTCCTTCATTGTTGCAACACGAAAGCAAGTCATAAGCATTTAAAACATGAATTGTCAGTATTTTAGCTTTGAAAAGTCCTGTGAACAAGAATATTTCTTAAAAGTAAAAGGTTACAAAACTTTGTGATTCTTAAAAGATAAATGTTAGTATCAGTTATATTAAAGTGGTGTAAAAAACCTTAATGTCTTCATTTTAATCAAATTTGTAAAAATACTTTAACTCGTAGGTCGCCATTATTGTCAGCGTCGCAATGCACTCTGGGTAGTGATGTCATATGGTTGTACCTCGGTTGCACCGGCCGGCTTTGGGACCCTGTAGGGACTTTTCAGCGGCGTAAACATGTCATCTGTTCAACCTCTTCAATTTGAACCAGAACGAAACATTAATGAGGACATCACTGAAGATGTTTCACAAAACGAGCATCAAAATGAAGAGCAAGAAGGGCGGGATGAAGCGGGTGGAGGACTAAACTGGTGGTGCGTGTGCGGCAAATGCGTCTCCATGGTAACAGAGAGGGAGAGTGCACACATTTTTGTCAGCAGAAGTTAACGGTAAGCTATCGTGTGATCAAACTTCAACTATGAATGATTTTGGAGAATTTTAGCATCCAGAGCTGCCGTGTGCTTTATAGATGATTAGGATATTCAGGGGAACGACTTTAATCATTTTTGCAGATGATATATATTTGGAGAACACTGTATTGGTACACTTCCTGCTTGTTTTACTGACAGGAGAGGTGAATGTTCAGCTTCATACGTGATGAGTAGAGTGTCTGATGGTTCGTTGAACGTGACAGAAGCGGCAGCTGCAGGAGCGGGTTGTCGGCTCAGGAGAGCGTCCAGCGTCTCGTTTCTCCGAGGACGTTTAGGCTCCTTGTGTGGGAAAATGGTTGGTAAAGCATTTAGTTTCCGCCTTCTCTTATACCCAGCCACTCTAGTGAGCTCTTTATGTAGTTGTGGTCGACTATAAGCCTCAAACGCATCAGGAGAAAAATGTTGGGAACACAGCCACAGATCTTTGGGAAGTTGTGTCCGTCCACATATATTGGTTGTGCTTGGAAGAATAGCTATTGACGCTAGTGCTTGTTTACATGCTCACCGTATTAATAATTAAGTAAAATGCCGCATTGTGCTGCTTTTGGATGCAATTTCCAGTCAGAGGACAACAAGGGGAGTGATGTGATCGCCCCCAGAATGCATTGCGTGTGGAAAACACGGCGTCCTACATATGTAAAAAAAATTTACTAAATGTTATAGATTTATAAATAAACAGCAATATTTTGTGTGTTTCTAACAACATAGTTTGGTACAACAGAAAACTTGTGGCTTATTAGGCAAACACGTCCTCATAGCCAGAGTTCCTTTTAACAATTGTGAGTCTGTTTGTTCAGAATTGGTTTAAATGCAGCTGCTAAGTCCATTGGAAATACCTAGACAGACACCCATTTGCATTCATTTATTCACACTGACATGGCTGATCTGATCTTACTGCCGTAAAACAACATGAATCTTTTGGTTTTTTAATATTAAGATTAAATGGTAAGTGACCAGTATTTGTATAACATGTATATTAACAAACCAAGACGCTTCACACCACACTTAGTCATCCATTCATTCACACACTGGTGAATATGAGCTACAGTGTAGCCACAGCTGCCCTGGGGCACACTGACAGGAACGAGACTGCTGAACACTGGCACCACCGGTCCCTCTGACCACCAACAGCATGCAAGGCAGGTTAAGCGTCTTGCCCAAGGACACAACAGCAGCATTCTCTGGCAGGAGCTGGGATCAAACCTAACACCTTCCAAATACTGGAGAACCCGCTCTACCTCCTGAGCTACTGCTGCCTGTTAAAAATAAAGATTTTTAACAACCCATGACCATTCAACACGGGGGCTTGTCCGGGATCTCAATCTACCAGCTCAGGGTCCTAGTGATATGAGTGTCCACCCTGGGACTGGGAGATCAGAGTTCAAAATCCCGGTTGAGTCATGCCAAAGGCTTTATAAAAATGGGACCCAATGCCTCTCTGCTTGACACTCAGCTTTAAGGGGATGGATTGGGGGTTAAACTGCCAAATAGTTCCCAAGCGCAACCATGTCTGCAGCTCACTGGTCCCCAAGGGGATGGGTCAAATGCGGAGGACACTTTTCACCACACCACACCAGTGTGTGTGACAACTATAGAATCTCAATTTGACCTTTAATCTATTTCATCTTATTTATAAGCATTTTTAGCTGTAATTTTGTTCATCTTTGAGAAAATAACAGTGAGGAGTTATCTCTCTCTTTAACAACTGACACAAAAAGTTTAATAAATGTCTCCATGTAAAATAACGGGACATTGAGCTTGTAGTTTTTAGACCCAACACAGAATGTATTATAATCACAAAAAGTCACTTTGCACTATTATTTGCTGTACAATAACATCATTATGAGAATAAGATGTGAGCTTATTATATACTAAATATTGCTCAAAAAGCAATTTTTAAAGCATAAAATCAGAATATAGGTTTATTAGAATGTATATGTATATTATAGATGACTTACTGTTCATCACAGTGACTGAAATGGGCTGTTTCTGCTGGATAGTCTGAGTGTGAGGGAACCGGGCATAGCAAATATAATCACTTCTGGTGTCTTCTGGGAGAACATTGGAAAAATACAAATCTCCATTCAGGGCCTGGGACACTCGCCTGTCCAGTGGCAGCTTCTGAAAATCTGACAAAATTTGAGACATGAAAAAAATATCTAGCATTTACAGTTTTATGTTGTAATTTCATAGCATTTCTTTCAATTTAGTTTATCTTCTGTGGTGTTTTTGTGGGGATTCCTGCAGATGCTGTGTTGCACTTTGTTGAAAATGGGAATTTGTAAATTTTTAACTAATGAAAAGAAATAACCTACTGTTATCCATCCAGAAGATGACAGGAGGAGGCAGCCCAGTAGGCGGTCGGCAGTGAAGCACAAGGGAGATCCCCGTTTGCACCATGATGGGCTCATTTACCTCCTTTGACCATAAGGGGGACCCTGTGAGTCACAAACCATCATGCAAAAGAATCCTTTGCAAACCAGGGTGGAAAATGTTTGAAAATGCTGTAACAAGATTCAATGAGATATCTTACTGGACTGCCTGATGAAAATTTTATTGGAGAGAGCCGTGCCGTGCTGATTCTGAGCTCTGCACTGGTACATCCCCTCATAGGCTTCAGCCTTTTCCCCACTGATGTCAATGGTCAGAGTTCCTGAACCGGGGCTCATCAGAACTTTAGGGTCTTCCTCCACGTCAAAGTGGCTCCCGTTTCTCGTCCACGAAAAACTGCAAAAGGAAGAAGTAAAGAATGACCAAAGAAACTATAATTGGTTGAAATTCATGAAGATGGTGTCCTAATTGCTCGATTCCCAGTCCTTTAATTCAAATGATGTGGAAAATCTTAGTGGTAGCTAAGTCAACTCTTGCAGCTGAGTTTCCCTAGCAGCCTGTCTCCTAGACAACAGTTGCTATGGAAATTTATGTTACCTCAGTGCCCCAGGTTGAGTTGCCCTCAGAAACAGAGCTTTGCTTCACAGAGAAGACCATCACTGGATTTAACTCATTAATCAAGCATTTGGATTGGCTGTCTCACCTGGGATGAGGTTTCCCTTTGGCCTCACATCGGATGACGATGTTCTCCCGTGGATCAAAGATGTAATCTTTTGGGGACTGCTGTGTTATGGTAGGGGGTTGAGGCACTAGAGAAAGATGAAAAACAAGATAATTCTGACACTGATCAGCACTGACATAATATGCTGAATCAAACCTTACAGAAACAAGCATATAAATATGCAAGCAACATGCGGCGAGCATTAAAGGCAAACATGGAGCAGAACGACACCCTTCACCTGAAAAACCATCACTTCCTAAATTAAAATTTAGGAACACTCCAAGCCAAGCAAAAGCACCTACTAGTGTTGAAAAACCTGCATGCACACATGACACACTTTAAAATGGCAAAAGCTGAATTCAGTGTTAAAGCCAACTTACATCCTTCCAGTACTTTAGCTTTTTGTCCACCGTGACATGCCGTACCACAGTAATAGAATATTAAGGAGAGATATTAGTTTTTTGTTGTTGCTTATTTGCAAGACTGGGGTGAAATGGCAGAACTTTAAAGCATCTGCTTGATCAGTTTGACCACTTTTTAATTGAATTATTATGTTTGTTTTGTTTGAAGCAGGTGGAATGACTACAAGCATCAGGAATAGCATGGAGAAAAGTTTTAGATAGTCGTTCTGGTGTGCAGTTAATTAAAATGACTTGACTTAAGCATCTTAATTCTTATAACCTTAATGTGACGTCAGTGAGCATGATACTTACGATCTAGAGGCACTTCAAGTCCTGAAGTCACATGACTCAGGAGTAATAGCACGGCTCCAAAACCTGAAACCCACTTCCAAATCCGGTCCATGTTTGTAAGTTTCAGTGTCCGGATTCTGACGTTCCACCAGGTTCTAGAGCAGCAGCAGCAGAAGCATCAACTCTGCAAGGATGAGTAAAAATAAAATATACATTGTTTTGGCACCATTTGGTCTCCATACCTGTTAACTCAATTTTAGGTCTTGTAAACTCAAACATACAAACACTTGAGTCTATAAATCTAAAGTGCTGTAAAACAGATATAAATGTTTAGTCTGAACAAGTGGAATGTTTTCTTTTTGCCAACGCTGACATCCTTGTGGCTCACAACCAAGAGCATTGTGTCTTAAGTGACTTGTCTGTAGGATAGACCATCATTTTGCTGGAGTAAAGACCGACAGAGGCAGCAGTCAAAACAAACCGGATTCCTGGTCTTGTAACTTAAACACGTGTCTATCTACTTTCCTGTTATTTACCTTATAGTGATGAAGAACAAACGTAAACTTTTACCCTGCATTAGTGCACAGTGCTGCGGAATAGTTTCCCCTATCAAAGTTCTTTGTTTTTTGTTGTTTTTTTTAATCATACTTAATGTTTCAGAACAGCAAACAGATTTTAACATCAGACTAAGATAACCCGAATACAAAATTCAGATTTTCAAAAGCTATTTAGTTTATTAAGGGGAAAAGCTATCTAAACTAAATGTACATCAGTATGCCTGCGTCCCAGTTGAGGTGGCTTGGGCATCTGGCTAGGATGTCTCTTAGACACCTCGGGGTTAGGTTTTCCAGATACGTCCCAGGAGGAGACCTAAAGGAAGACCCAAGACACGCTGGAGGGACTATATCTCTCAGCTCCCCAAGGAACCTCTTCAGATTCCCCTGGAGGAGCTGGCCCAAGTGGCTGGGGAGAGGGAAGCCTAGGCCTCCCACTTCAGGCTGCTGCCCCCACGACCCGACCTCAGATAAGTGGAAGAGAATGGATGGATGGATGGATGGATGGTGTCCCTTTTGCTCCTTACTTTTGGAAACCCAATTTTCAATCTTTATTTGTTGTTTTAATAGTTGAAGGTTAAAATAATAGCCTACTGCCAAACATTTACTTTTATTATTTTTCTTCTTACCTGGCCCTGTATGAAAAATGAATTCCTTCCCTTGTTGATTAACCCTCTCAGGCTCAAAATAAGTTTTGATAAAAGGATGAACAACTAAGTCCTTCAGGAGTACTTCTGAGTTAAAAAATGCTCATGAAATACGTATGTGGAGTAACCAGGTAGGTAGGTTTTAACTCCAGAGGGTTAATGAATAACCTGAAAAAAACTTCACACTCAGACCTGATTATTACCTGATTTGTAAAGCCAAGAAATCACCTCAATAAAACTTGCCAAAGAAAATTGAGTCAGCTAAAAGATCTTGAGATGACTTGTGTTAGGGATTGGCGCTATTTAACAAATCAAACTGAATTGGATCTTCCCGATGATTCCCAAGAATTGGAGGGAGATATTCTGTGGACTGATGACACAAAACTGACACTTTTGGAAGCGGTGTGTCCCATTACATGTGGAGTTAAACTAACTCTGCATTTCAGAGTAAGAGTCAAGCATGGTGGTGGTGGTGTGATGGTCTGGGGCTGCTAAGAAAAATGGAAAATTGAAAAACCTGGATTAAAGCAATACTATGCAGTTTTGTCAGCTTTTAGCACCCCCAGTGTTCATTAGTGAAAGCAAAAATGAAACTTATCTCCACGCTGTGCGTTCGTCTTTTTAATACCTTAATCTAACTACTGAAATGTTTCCTCAGCCTTCATTAGTGTCTACAGGAGTGATTCATCACTAAATACAATAAATCAGCTGTGTTCACAATCTAAAATATGTAGGAAATAGACTGCAGCTCCTGGCTTTTTAGCTCCACTTTTACTAAGTCCAACAGACCGGACCGGCACTCTGAAGTTGCAAGTGCGATACTCTGGCCACAGGGTGTGGTGAGGGTCTGAGTGACATTTCATTAATCCTGTAAAGGGTCATTTTAGAACATACAGACTCAAGAAAATGTTTTTAAAATTTTGCATAGTGCGAATTTAAAACAAGTCCGTTATAGTGTTATAGAGGAAAACGCCTTTTCAGAATTCTGTAAAATACTTTCTTCCATGCTGCGCAGTGGCACAGTGGTTAGAGCTGTTGCCTTGTAGCGAGAAGGTCCTGGGTTCGCTTATCGGCCTGGTATCTATCTGCATGGAGTTTGCATGTTCCCCCTGTGCATGCGTGGGTTCTCTCCGGGTACTCCGGCTTCCTCCCACAGTCCAAAGACATGACTGTTAGGTTGATTGGTCTGTCTAAATTGTCCTTAGGTGTGAGTGTGTGTGTGCATGGTTGTTTGTCCTGTGTGTCTCTGTGTTGCCCTGCGATGTACTGGCTCTCTGTCCAGGGTGTACCCCGCCTGATTGCCCGTTGACTGCTGGAGATAGGCACCAGCCCCCCCGCGACCCTGCGTGGACAAAGCGGGTTTAGAAAATGGATGGATGGATGGACTTTCATCCATCAATACATACTTGCATACTTTTAAATAAGTTGTTGCCAAAACAGACAAAAATCCTTAAATTATCATTTATACATTTAAAAATAAGACCAAAACAAATGCACTTTCTTGAGTTTCTAACTGTTGTTACTTGTGTCCTTTTGAAAAGCTGCTTCTATGCATGGACTGAGATGCCCTTTTAACACGTGTTTGTCTGCAAACCTAAGACGTGAGTGCACTCAGCTGGATAAAAGAAAATTGCAGCTACATTGGAGATGCATCTGCACGCGGAGTGGCACATGCATGTGCAAACACAGCACTCCAACAGAAACCTCCTTGGCAGTGTGTCGTATGGATCGAGTTACACATGAGTGCAGACCCACGAGCTTCAGCTCCTGTTGTCTAGTGCATCACAAACACACAAAATCATGTTGGCATTAATGGGCTCCCGTGAACTGCACCGTGGGGAGAAGAAATTATGTGTTTGGTTTTCACTTTTACTGCTTGCTGTGTATAAACTGCCAGACATGTATTAGCAGGAGTTAAAATATTAAATTTATAGTTTTGCTAGTGCTTTGACATAAATACACACCTCTGATGTACACCAGATACATGTTTAAACAGATGAAGAGCATCAAAATCAAATGAGTTTAACACACTCCACTAGCGTGACTGCTGAAATATAGAAAGAGGAGGTAATGAATTTTTATCCAGTTGAGCAATGCAGTGTGAGCTAACACACCCGCAAGACACAGCTAATTACACTGGCACGTCCTACTGGATATTACTGACTAGAGCACAGAAAAGCAGGGATAACGAGAGCAGAGTTAGAGGGAGTCCATCCATGCTAAAGCTCAATCCAGCTGTGATAAAATTGCAATATGATCAGCCAAATGTAACGTCTCATCTTCAGATGTACCCTGGAAAACTCCAGCTGATATCCTGTAATACTGGAGCTGTACTGGACCTTCAGCGAGATGTAATTAGACAAACATTAATATTCACATCTAGTTATGTATAGGGGATTTTTAAACACAAAACGCATAGAGTAATAAAGTCACGGTGGTCAAATAAAGTGCACAAATGTGCAGAAATAAGTCTTTGTGACCTCAGATGAAACTACAGTATAAATATCTACAGATAATTTGTTCACCATAAAAAGGTACATTTACTTATCTTTTATTTATTTATTTATTTTCCCCCATGTCCTGTCTGTGAAGCAAACAGAATTAATGTCTGAATCCTGGTGACAAGCCTTACAGATTTACTCTCAGGTGGAGCATCAAACCTTCTGCTTTTAATGTCACGCCTGATACTTATTGTTTTTTGAATGCTTTATAATTCCGAACAGAGATGGAGACAGAGGTGAAAGAGAAAGGAAGAAACAAAAGGAGGGGGGGGGGGGGCTCCACAAAAATAAACAATCAATGATGAACAAGAGTCTGCTTCTAGACCTGCAGAAAGAGAAAAACAGACAAAACAGAAAAAAGGAGACACAACAATACAACAAGAGCAAGCTATCACTGCGTGAACCTGATGAGAAAATATAAAATCAACATTGTTTAACTGAATAATCACACAATAACAAATCACAGTGCATTAAGTGCCAACCACAGCCATAAGACATGTGTTGAAAATGCCCAAGTCCATACTTATGAGAGCACCATGTGAGCACCTGTGTGTGTACACGCGCTTGTATGTGTAAGGTTTCTCTATAGGAGTGTCCAATAGAGAGTGTGAGGGGCCACAGATCTGCCCCCAAAGATGCGTAGGAAATGGAGAGTGCTCCAAGTCCCAGAGATCCAGGGCTGGCCCAGAGCGCAGGTACCCCAGGGAGAAAGTAACCAGAAAAGCACCAGCCCCCTCTCAAGAGGCGCAGAGGATTGCCCCGGGGGGGCCACAACCAGCAGCCGGCAGAGTCCCGGGAGATATCAGCAGCAAGGTACATTACAAAAAAGGTACATTACAAAAGCCTTTTATAAAAAAAAAACACCCAATTTGTGAATATTGACAAAAAATCATTACATTTAATAAAAAAAAGTTGTTGATTTTAAATTTACTTTGTTCATCTGTTTCTGAATACTTTATAACAAAATATTTCTGCTTATCAGAAAATGTGAATAAAAACATGAAAAGATCTTTATAAATAAAATATTTATATGGATACTTGTACTATATAACATGTATTATTTGTATCATTTAAATATGCAGTTTTGGTTTGTTGTTTTGACCTTATGTAAACTGCTTGGTCCCACTCCCTAAATCTGAATTTTTAGCCTTGAAAAACAGGAAAAACTGTTTTTTATGTTGCTTTTTTGCAAACTTGGATAAGTGAATGCATATCTGAGACCTGTTGTATTATTTTTTTCACTGTTAAAAGCTAAACTGTGAGACTAGCTGTGCTGTGTGGTGGAGGATTTAGGTCTGGCTGCAGCATTCTCCACAGAATTACACACACACACACACACACACACACACACACACACACACACACACACACACACACACACACACACACACGCACGATCAAGACATTTTTACACCAACCCTACAGCAAAATGAATTAATTCCATTTTCTGAGCAGATTTTCTCACAGGCTGCAAAACGATGACCACACTGGATGAGTAGAATGACTTTAGCTTGTGGGCAGGTCATCTCTTGTAATCTTGTCTTTTCCTTTCAGTGACTGTGTGGGTCATGAGCCTGACTTTCCAAAAAAAAAAAAAACTAACATTCAGATATTTTGTAGTTAGTTCATCTGCAGTTGAATTCATAGTAGAAGTCCACAGGATTATGCACTGAATATATATTTTGGATTAGATTTCAGATTTATTGGCCAAGTAAAATTACATTTAAAAGGAATTTAGCTTCGGTACCTAGATTAGATCTATTAAAAGGTAATTATTGGGTGTACATCCACAACTTAATGACTTTTTTTGGGTCAACTTTATTCAAGATAGCTGCCACAACTAATCAGCATTAATAAGAAGAGATCAAACACACACACACACGCATACATTGTGAATGTCTGTGTGATGGAGGAGAAAGGCGGAAGCTGGGGGAGGGGCAAAAGCAGAAGAAATGAAGAGGTTGACATCTAGCAGTTACACATTTAACACTAAGCAGAACTATCCAAACTATCTGTGACTTGAGAGCTTTTTTTGGCGCACCATATGTAGCTATGACTAACACAAAGAGAAATGAAGTTAGCATCTGCCTACATTTAGCTAATATTTCCACATTTAGACAAAATGGACTACATTATACAGTACCTATCATCTTTCTCATAGAAACTACTTTATCACCTTGCACGATCCTACTCCATTCGCTAGATATTTCTTCAAATATTTGGCCATAACTGTTAGAATCAACCATGCTTGTTTGATTTTGCTAAATGAGTTAGAAAGTAATCAGATGCATTTGAGATTTAATTAAGTTATGTTCACTAACATTGTTAAACAATCATAAACACTGCTTCCTGTCAGCTAGAAGTAATACGCGTATCCTTTGTCTTGTATAGTTAAAATGATTGAGTTTAGTCTTCCATTCCTAATCCATTAATACCCATTCTCAATCCAAAGGAGAACATTGGTCATGCTGGCCGAGACCCAAAAGTACATCTGTCCCTCAGTTTGCAAAGCCAGAAGCAACTTACTAAGTTGGTCACTGCACAGCCTTCAGTCACACCCAGAAACACCAAGGGACGACAGCCTGATGAGACAGAAACAGGGAGACAGAACGAGAATTAAAGGGTGGGATAGAAAACAGAATTATCTGCAGTCACATCAAATCACAGTAACAGAGATATTTGTGAGACAATAAACTGAGTCAGACTGCTTTCAGCTAGTATGAACCAGAGTGACTGTTCCATTATCCACCCATAGGCTCTAAACTCATGATGTATATTTTGTAATGTGAAGTGAAAAGTTTTTTTATTATAATTTTTAAATTGTTTATAAAAACCTGATGAGCTGTAATGGGCATAAAAAGAAAATGATTATGAACCCCTGACATCTGAGAAAACAGATTTTCACTTGTGTTGCTCAAACGCAGGGTTTCAGGTGTACATCTAAACTTCACAGAGAAAAAAGAAATCCATTTGAAAAGAATACTTGAAAAGACAATGAAAAAGGAGGAGGATGGAGACGGTGTGTGAGCAAATGCTTTACAAACCATACAGACAGATCACTGCTAACACAATCACCTCTGTGCATCCAGTGCCTGAGGTCAGAACTTTACCTAACCAGTTCATTTTACTCTCACAAATATCGTATTAGCTTTTCTTCTGCTTTGTAACAAGAAGGTGTGCTTTTAAAATAAGGGTAAACGTCTATTGGCTCTGGCTCTGTACTTGGTCTCAGACTAGACACCTTGTTAGGAGACCGTGGTGGAGACGAGGAATGACCAGCACCCCCTTCATCACACAGTAGGAAGACAGAGGAGCACCTTCTCGCACAGACAGTTACAGCTCCGCTGTCAAAGGGATAGTAGATACAGGAAGTCTTTTTACCATATGCCATCACATTGTACAATTGCATTAACTAAAATTTGGTTCTGCTTTTCTTGTTTTATGTTTTTAACTACCTTAATGTGTGTAATGCTGCTGCTGCACTGCAATTTCCCAGCCTGGGACCAATAAAGTACATCTGTCTGTCTGTCTGTCTCACTTTTGCACTTTACAGGCCAGGGGTACCCCAAGGATCAGTACTCGGACACTATTCTTTTTGGTTCAAATTCGCACACATTAGTTATTTGATCAGTAACAAAAGACAATTTCACTTTTGTTCTTCAATGTCCAAGAACTCAGCCTCTAACATGCTAACTTCCACTGACTTTGCAATTCTGGTTCACCAATTCTGTCTCTTAAATAGGTTAACCCTAAATTTTTTCGTCCCCTGAAACGAAAGTTATTCTGTTAGAAAGTTACTTTAGTGGAATCATCTGGTTTATGCCATTTAAAAATGCTAATTTGGTATTCATACCCTCCAGTTCTCGTCTCTCCATCTATGAATTTAATAACCTTATTGTCTGGTTCTTCTTATTCTTTTCTTCTTGGCAAACTCACACCAGCCAGGTCATTTACTCCAAAAAAATCCTATTGTTTGGTGTAAAACTCTTTCTCAGTGTTTTGATCAATAAAGATTGTGCATCACTAAACCACTACAACAAGGAACGCTTTTCATGCATACCACAAATCTTCCTTCAAATGTACTAAAACACAATTATGCTTCACGCAATAGGTGGATCAGGTTGCGCTTTTAACAGCTCAGTTAGTAAGAAGGGAGGTTAGCTGAGCAAACGGAGTTAAAGCTGTCGTTCTCAAGCTTAAGTGAAACTATGCGATATGTAAATTGTTCTGAGAAACACAACAAGTGGATGCGGAAGTTTAATTTAACAAAGACAAACTTATGAAGCATTCTTGTGAGACAGACAGATCAGATACCCAAATAACATCCGTCATTGAGCCGAGCTAGCTTGAACATTTGAGGCTTTTTTTTTTTATGCCTGTCCTGTTTGTATAGCTTAAGCCTAGAGAATGTGGATTTGCGTGCTTTACATCTCAGATCAAATGTATTCTAATGTGAGCTATTCCTTTTGTTAGTTAATGACAACCGATCATCAGCTTGGGCAACAGAGTGGCCAGACGGCTTCTTTTGAGCAGAACAAACTGATTTGTCACAATAAACATGTTGCAACACACAAAAACAGAAACTACTTAACATCTTATAGTTTGTTAGGAAAAAGGCCCGGTGCTCTCTCCAGCTGGGTTTATCTTTGGAACCAGAAATGTTTCAGCTAAAGGTTGCAACTTCTTCAACTGCTGACCGAATCAAACCCATCTGCCACATTGGAAGTTATTGTAAAAGGGGCTTTCACTACACTAACACTGCTTCTTTTCAATGAAAAGACAGGACTGACAGGCCCTTTGTTTCCAGCAGCCGCCAAACCGGACCACACTCAGCCACCAAACCAAAACAAACTATCTCAACCTTGTTTAGGGTCAGATATTTTAGCACCATCCGCAGAAATCCCCCAGTGCCTGCTTTCTCTGAGTCTTTGTGAAGTGCTGATGGTCAGCATGCATCCAGCCATGCCAGCACCCTCCTCACCCTACCGCCACCCCCACCCTGTGGTCTTCCAACTCTGACCCATGAGCTTTTGTCCTTCTCTGTTGTTTACAACAGGGATAATGCTGAAATGGCAGAAGTGTTCTGTGGCACAAAGTGACACCTCGGGTATTAAAAGATGAGACCTCACCACAACAACATTCTGTATACGTGATGATAAATGCTAATATGTATGCAGGGTTGGAAATGGTTTGGTTCTCCTGACTAAATAAAATGGGCTTTAACTTATTCAGTGCAAGAATCATGCAATCATGTGCATTTTTCTGAAATAAAATTGGTTTGTTTTCTTTTGTGAGAATTTAAAACAGCAAGGTCTTAAGACACGAACAGCAGGATATCTTTTGACCTGTCCCGTGGGATCTTAATGTAGCCTAATGAGATATAAGTGGCATTATTGATGAGCAAAGCCATTAAAATTTAAACACAATAGCTGCTTAACCAGGTAACAGCTGGTCATGATGTATCCTCTAAGTTCCATTAATAAAACATTTATTGATCTCTAAATGTTTACATTCTCTGGTTATAATGAATAATGTTATGCCTACACTCTCTCTCACACACACACATAAAAAAAATTATATATATATATATATATATATATATATATATATATATATATACATATATACATATATATATATATACATATATATATATATATATATATATATATATATATATATATATATATACATATATATACATATATACATATATATATATATATATATACATATATAAAACCAGCTCAGTGTCCTAGTGGTATGAGTGTCCTCCCCGAGACCGGGAGATTGTGGGTTCAAATCCACGGTCGGGTCATGCCAAAGACTTTTAAAAAATGGGACCCAATGCCTCCCTGCTCTATACATTAAGGTGTTCGATTGAGGGGTCAAACCACCAAATGGTTCCTGAGCACGGCCGTGTCTGCAGCTCACCGCTTCCCAAAGGGATGGACACTCAGGGCAGTAACCCCCAAACTGGAGGCGTGGCTAAAGCAGATTCTAGGAAAAACATCAGACATCTCAGTTCAGATAAGTGAAGTTCAAGGAACATCTAGGTTACTGCACAGAACCCTCAGGCTCCCAGGTCTTTGGTAAAGGACCCAAGCTTGGAAGGATGAGACCACCCATAGAGGGTGAGGACAATGTTCTTTTAATATATGTATATCCATCCACCCATCCATTTTCTGAACCCGCTTTGTCCCCCAGGGGCTGGTGCCTATCTCCAGCGGTCAATGGGCAATCAGGCGGGGTACACCCTGGACAGAGAGTCAGTCCATTGCAGGGCAACACAGAGACACACAGGACAAACAATCATGCACACACACACACTCACACCTAAGGACAATTTAGACAGACCAATCAACCTAACAGTCATGTTTTTGGACTGTGGGAGGAAGCCGGAGTTAATATATGTATATAATTTTTTTATTATTTAATTTTTATTATTACTTTATGATAAAACAAGTTGGTTTTGTTACCAAACTTGTTTATTGATTCTCTGCAAATGTATTGAAAGACCATTTCTGACTCGTGAGAATCTAATAATTGCCATTCTGGTGAAGTACTGTAAACTTTTTTTGGGCCATTTCCTTCGTCTCTCCTTGCAGCGAAATCATGTTTAAATCACCTGCTGTCTGTTTTGGATTGAGAGGGGAGGGTCTGTGTTTTGATTGGAAGGCAGTAAGTAATGACTCAAGTACCACATTACCTGAAAAAAGAATGGAAACTTGCTTTTATTGACCCATTTTTTTCTATTGCACCACACATCTAATGAGATTGAAAATGTGTCGTCAAACCTGGCTTCAAAACGCAAAGGATTGTAGGTATGAGGGACAGCTCCCCCCCCCCCCCCAAACCACTCTGAGTGCGCTCATTCCATTCTATTTTTTTCCGAACAGTTGTCCCCAAACATGGTCAGAGCTTGTTGTGTTGTTGATTACCATACTAGGTTGCATGAACCAGGGAAGGCTAATAGCCAAAGGTACACTTTTTTTTTCAGATTCCTGTGTGGAAGAGAGGTTGTTCCAGCGATGTGTCTGAAGCTAAGAGGCAACAGATGGTGTGGATTGCTACTATCGGAAGACCTAACTTAATATTTGAGGACACCCCAGCAATCCATCCAGCCTCTTCTAGACTGCCTACGTGATGTGAAATGTTGGCTGGCCACAAATTTTCTGCATGTCAATGATTCCAAGACTGAAATGATCCTGTTTAATCCAGTAAGATCTAGCTCATTCCAAACCCCAGATCTTTCATCTATTTCTCAAAATCTGAAAACCGTTGTGACAAACCTGGGTGTGAAGATGGATTCATCTCTAAGGATGGATGCCCAGGTCAATGCCACTGTAAAATCTTGTTTTTTCCAACTCTGCCATCTGTCCAAATTAAGAGCTGTTTTATCTAAAAAAAAAAAGCGTGTTACAAATCATGTGGACAAAGAGCTTTCTCTGTTGCGGGTCCTAAACTGTGGAACGAATTTCCAGTCACAGTTCGACTGGCATCCACCTGGGCAGATTTTAAGTCTAGACTAAAGACACACAATTTTACCCTTGTATTTAACAGTTAGCTGTTAGTTTGACTA